TTCTCATCATTTTTCAAGACGGGGACTGTTCTCCAGAGTGGGATGGGATTATCTGCTGGCCCCGGAGCCGAGCGGGCCAGCTGGTCTCGGTGCAGTGCCCAGCCTACATCTATGACTTCAACCACAGAGGTAGCAAACAGAAACACACGCCAACAGCAGTAATCACTGGAAACTACGAGAGAGAAAAACAGGAGTGCATTTCCATCAAAAAAATTGAAAAAAAATAACGTTTCTGTGCTAGAAAGTTGGAAATTTGTCAGAAAAAAAAATCAGGACTGTGGAGCTTCATTTGAGAAATTTGATGCAAAAAAAACTTAGAAATTTTTGAATTTTCCTAAAAGAATTCCAGAAATTTTTAAGTAAAGACAAATAATATTTTGAGCTTGAATGAAAAGTCAAATAATTGCTAGAAAAAAATTTTTTAGATTAATCTTTGAAATTTTCTATAGAAAACATGTAAATTTCTGAATTTGAAAAGTCAAAAATGTTCTGGAAAAAAACTCAGATTTTTTTAGATAAATCTCAAATAAATCTAGGAAAAACTAGAAAATTTCTCAGTTTTAAAAGTGGAATATTTGCTAGAAAATAAACTCAGAAATGTTTAGATTAATCTAAAAAATTTTCAAGGAAAAAAGTTCCAAAAATCGAACATTTTCAATTTTATACATTCAGGGATTTTCATGTTTCTTCACAAAAATTTCTGACATTAATCTCAATTTTTGTATTTTATTTTTAAAGCAAATTTTCAACTTGTGAAGCTGAGAAATGTCCCTGGTTTTTCTAGAAAATTTCTCAGATTAGTCTTAAAATTTTAGTTTTGTGGTGGACAGTTTACATTTTTTAAATCTCCAGTGGCCCTACCATGTAGGAAACATCAGATGCCTGTTTTAAAACCAAAAAGCAGGACTTGCAGTTTGCAGGGCTCTCTGTTTTGTTCTGTTTTGGTCACTGTCTCCTGTGCACCTGTGAATCAGGGCGAGCTTACCGCCAGTGCGACGTGTCAGGGAACTGGGAGCTGGTGCCCAGTAACAACCGCACCTGGGCAAACTACACGGAGTGCACCCGATACCTGACCTCCAACCACAGAAACCTGGAGGAGGTGAGTACAGCAACACGCTCTGTTTGGCTTCTTTCAGCAGCGCAACGATTCAAACATTTACATGCCACAGTATTTAGATTGAAGCTATATAATGCTAAGTGTTTAGTTCACAAGAATAAATCAACTGCATTTGATTTTATTTTGGAAGTCCACTTCTGGTTATCAATAAGTGAATTTTCATATTAGCTAAATAATTTCTGTTTTCAAGCTAAATATTTAGATCCAAACTGGATATTTATTATTATTTTTGTTTGAAACTGACATTTATAAAAGAAATAACATGGTGAAAATATGACTTTGAAAAATTAAAACCAGGCTAAATTATCAAAATTATTCCTATTAATGTTGCGTAACTGCAAACAGCACCCAAAAGTCATCGTCCTTCCAGTAAGTATTACACTTTTATCTAGATTTACACGTAAGAAATGCTTGGTTTTCTTTTCAGAAGGTGTTTCAGCGCCTGCATCTCATGTACACCATCGGCTACTCCATTTCTCTGGCATCTTTGTTGGTGGCCATATCCATCCTTTGCTATTTCAAGTATGAAAACCCAAAATTCTGTAATTTCAAGTTTAAATTAGGAATTTCATCTTTAACATGTTAAAATATGTTCTGAGATCTTCTCTCTGTCACATAAACTCTGTCCAGGCGCCTCCACTGCACACGCAACTACATTCACATCCACCTCTTCACCTCCTTCATCTGTCGAGCTGTTAGCATCTTTGTGAAGGACGCCGTGCTCTACTCCATATCTGCTGCCAGCAGAGCGGAGTCCGATTTCACCACTGTGAAGCAGCCCATGGTAAATACAGGCACAGCTTCATATGTATTTACACCCTCATTTACTGGGCTACATATAGAATTTTCTTTTTCCATAAACACAACAGTTCGTTTAAGGGTGTCCTATTATACTTCCTCGAACAGGTTAGGATATGTCTGTGGGCTAAACAAAAGATGTTCACTGCATTTCTTGGACAAAATTATTCTTAGAAAATGAGATTTTAGTCAGAATGAGTTTTTTCAGGGCCTCTGTCACCTTAAATCCAAATAAGCAGCTGCTGGAATGCATCCCCCAACTCAAAGTTTATACTCTCACCCGAAAACGGCTGAAAATAGATGAAAAGCAAAAGTGGAGCCTCCTGCACAACCAGCAAGAATACAGCAAGTAGTTTCTAAATAATAAGTCAATAACAAGACATTATTTTTTTTCCCAGCAGCCATTATCTTGCGCATTCAGCAGTGAAACCAATTGAACAATTGTGCAGTAGCTCCTCTGGGGTTGCTAGGTAATGGCGGAATTCTAATGGGGTTGCTAGGTAATGGGCGGAATTCTTCTGGGGTTGCTAGGTAACGGCGGAATTCTACTGGGGTTGCTAGGTAACGGCAGAGTGCCAGTTGATTGTGGCTCTCTGTTTTCTGTTTTCTTTTTCAAGACTAAAAAACAGATTTTTTTATAGTCTTGAGCATTTTTAGAAGCATTTGAGAACCAAAATGGAACTTAAAAAAGAAAAATTTTCATTCTAGGTCCTTTTTAAACAGTTCACACTCAATTTAAATGATGTAAAGATATTTATTGAACATAGTGGGACGAAAAATGGTGTTTAAATTGTAGGAACAGTGAGTGTTTGAAACTGACAGCTTGAATTAGAATCAGGATTGTTTTATGACTTTTATAACTGAGTAACTGTTATTTTTCTGGTTTTGTGAACATGATATAAAATTGTAACTCCTGAGCTTGAATTGAGCAAATATTGGGCCCCTTTGTTGCACCGAACAGAGTCAGGCTAAATGCATCCATATCTTTCCAGGATTTATGCTCCGATAAGATTGCAAAATTAGCCTATTTTTAGATCTCAGCAGGAATTTGTGTAAGTGCATGCATCCAAAATGGCCGACTAATTACTGCCGGCCATTGGTCTAAGCCAGTAGACCAGCGCCCAGTGTTCAAACAAAACTCTCACTAATGGGTTGGTTTGTTTCCAGTAACGGCTGCTTCTGTGCCATCAGGCTGGGTGTAAAGCTGCGGTTACGCTCTTCCTGTACTTCCTGGCAACCAATCACTACTGGATTCTGGTGGAGGGCTTGTACCTCCACAGCCTCATCTTCATGGCGTTCCTGTCTGACAAGAACTACTTATGGGCTCTGACCATCATGGGCTGGGGTAAGTGGCATCCCAGGCGGGCTGCACAGGTCCAGAGTTGGCCACAGTACCCAAAAATACACTACACTAAAAGTTAAAAAGTATGAAAACTTTCTGTCCGGATTGACTGTAATGTGTCTTTGTGCTGGTCCCAGGTGTTCCGGCTGTGTTTGTGTCCATTTGGGTCAGCGCTCGAGCTTCGCTGGCAGATACTCAGTGAGTTAACCGATACAACTTAATACTCATACTCATAAAAGCAGCTCGTTCCACAATTCCTGGCTCCACTATATTTAATTGGAGTTGAAGAAACTTTGATTGAAATTGTAGAAATCAAAATATAACCATTCAATAGTCAAAAAATAAGGAATCACCATTTTTCACAGAATTACAAAACAATGTAATAGTTGTTTTTAAATGAATAAGACTAAAACATTTTAAGGTAATCTATACTGCAAAAACCATAACATTTTATTAAGTGTTTTTGGACTAGCTTCTAGTGAAGATATCTCTGTACGCTTGAAATAAGACAAAATTAAAAGTAACTTTTCAGCAAGATATAGGAGATTGTACTAAGTCGGTAATCACTTAATCCTGATTAAAAGCACCAATTCTATTGGCAGATTATTTATAGACGTTTTTTTCATGTCTTGTTAAAAGTGAAATAATCTGCCTGTGCAAATGGTACTTTATGGATATCAATGATTTATTGGCTTCACATAAACTTATACATCTTGTTGAAAAGTTGCCTGTAAGTTAGTTTTTCTTATTTTATGTAAACAAATGAACTTTCAGTAGAAACTAAACCCAAATAATTTGTAACACAAATCTTACAAAGTAGGAAAAGATGCCATTTTGTTATTTTCTGGCTTTTGGGCCCATATTTTTTTGTCATGTTCACTATAGTTGCTTCTTTCCTGCTTCCAGATGTTGGGACATCAGCGCCGGAAACCTGAAGTGGATCTACCAAGTTCCCATCCTGGCAGCCATTGTTGTAATCAAAATACTTTTCCCTTCAATTGCCTTATTGATGGTGTTAATATAATGAAGATTTAACTTTACATCTCTGCTCACACAGGTGAATTTCCTCCTTTTCCTAAACATAATCCGTGTTCTGGCCTCTAAACTGTGGAAAACCAACACCGGAAAACTGGATCCTCGACAGCAGTACAGGTGAAAGTTTCCTAGACTGATGAAGAATCCCGTCATTGGTTTACACTGTAAAAACGGGCAATAATCTACATAAAAGTCAAATTGTGCTTTTAGAAAAACCGTTAGAGATATCAAAAAGCTGAATCACATGAAGAGAGCTTAATATCTTGGGACTTATTGAAAAGTTGAACTGAGTTTATAGATCAAAGTAGGCAGAAGTGGTAAGCTGTCAAAGAGCAGATTTCATCAGAGCTGAAATCTGCATAAAAGTTAAAGTATTTCAAAAACTGTAAAAGCTGAAAAGATATAGAAGTCTCTAGAACAAGATGAATCGTTTTATATATGAATATAAAGACAGGTGAGCGCTGAAAAACACACAGAACCCGGAATAATAACAATAATAATACATCGTTCTCGTGTGACATCACACTTCCTGTAACGTTGTAATGGTCAGGCAGTTGCTATGACGACAATAAATGAGCTACTAGCTTAGCAGTAGCTCTCTCCTTGTTTCTGTCTAATATAAATGCGTTACAATTATTCTCGATTACAAATGTTGAGTACTCTTCACACCTTCGTGTGATATTATGATAAACGTCAGTGATATTTACTGTTGAATCAACAAAATTAGCTTAGCTAATGTAGCCTTTAGCCGCTAGCTAAGGCAGACATGTAGCCTACGTGTTTGTTACGACATGTATTTACTCTGTCAGCCATCAGAAAACCCTGTTATTCACACAAAGAGCTAATATGTCCTTTAAACAACTGATTGTATATCACACAAAGTTCCTCTGTGGTGAATTCTCTCTTCCTCCTCATACGGGTCGGTCCCAACAGCAGCCATTTTGTTCATGTATCTTTTCTTGCATATTGAGCAACATGTTTTCTTTCTCATGCACTGCACCAGTGCTTGTCTATTAAAATGGCACGGATCTCTTCCACTTTAAACATGTGGGAATGTTAGGGTTAGTGATAAATTCTCACTTCCTCCCTGGTATTGATCTCTGCAGGAAGCTCCTGAAGTCCACCTTGGTCCTGATGCCTCTGTTCGGAGTCCACTATATAGTTTTTATGGCCCTGCCCTACACTGAGGTGACTGGGCTGCTGTGGCAGGTGCAGATGCATTATGAGATGTTCTTCAACTCTTCTCAGGTCAGAGCTCAACCTGACTGTTTTCATCGCGGTTAACTATTTATGCTAATCGTCTTCTTAAAATATGTTTTCAGGGCTTTTTTGTGGCGTTCATCTACTGCTTCTGCAATGGCGAGGTAAAGCTGCAACTAACAGTAATTTTAGTTACTGATTAAAAGTGTGCACTTTCTGCAGATTTGTCATTTAAGGTTTTCTTTTTCAATCTTAGAAATGAATTAAAAATGCAAATAAATAATGAAATTTCTTTTTTAAAAGAAACTTTTTATTGGCTAAAATGCAATAACATCGCATTCCTTTAGTGAATGAACATCAACATGTGGAAAGCTCAGCCTTTTCTATTTGACAGTGCAGGGCCGATGTGTTTATTTTTCAAAAATTGGAGAACAAAAGGTGCTTAATGTGAAATAATTTAAGAATTTGAACCAGGTGAAGCTAACACTGTGTCACCTGAGGAGTTAACATATTGATACACTGCAAAAACTTAGTCAATAATTCCTTAATATTGATGAAAAGTATTGGTTTCACTGGCAGATTATTTAATTTTTCAGCAGTTTTAGAGACGTATTGATTTAAAACAAGTTCCTATATTGTGCTGAAAAGTTACTTCTCAGTTAGTTTTGTCTTATTTTAAATATATTAAGAAACTAGGCAAAACATTCTTAGTGAGATTTTGTTTATTATTTTAAATTTTGTAGACTTTTGTATTAGTTATTCTTCTAAGAATGTTGTTCTTGCAGAAATGGTCAATTTATAAGTCTATACTCCTCTTGACAAATATTTATACAATCAGTTCATCAGGATTAATTTGATTGGTCGTTTCAGTTGGAGTTTTGTTGAATTGAGTGTCCAGCTGTCAGAGGAGATGAGTTTGTGTCCTTTTGATGTAAATCAGGTGCAGGCAGAGGTGAAAAAGGCCTGGTTAAGACGCAGCTTGGTGCTGGATCTCAAGCAGAAAGCCAGGATGACGAGCAGCGGCGGCGGGAGCTGCTACTACGGCGGCATGATGTCCCACGCCACCACCCACAGCGTCTGCATGTCCGCCGTCCATCCCAGGGCTTTCTCCTTCACAGCGGGGTCAGGAGGGGCCGCCGGGGGGTCAGGGGTCAGGCCGCCCCGTCACTCTGCCCCGTCGTCGCTCCACCACAACCACAGCGGCGTGTGTGTTTTCGTTCCCAGCGCCGCTGAGGCCTCAGGCTCCCAGCAGGACGCGGCGGCGTGGAGACCGGGGAGGGCCGAGTCCAGAGCCCAAGAGAACGACAGCAGCAGCGCAGCAGCACATCCAGGCTGCTCCGTACCTGTGAAAGAGCTGGAGACCATTTTATAATCACAGTGGTTTTGAAACCGGGTCGACCTTTCTGCGTCGTCGTCATGGTTACAGGGAGGGATTCGCCATTTTCACTGTCTTAGAAATTGATGGTTTCTCATTCTGACAAGAAAAAAGCAGAACACAACCCCGTTATGGACGGCCCACTCCAATGACTAACGTATAAACTAAAGTATAAAGACACGTTGCAGCGGAAGATCCCGGCGCCGTCGTTCTGCTGGAGGCCAAAAAGCTGCCGGTTGACCTCCACCAGCATTTGTCTTCAGCTGCTAAACCGTCAGTATAACACGCTACATCTCAAGAAGGGAGAAGTTCACTTATCCTTGTTTGACTTTGACAACCTCAATATATAGATGTGATGTATTTTTACTAAATAAAAAGCCAAAACGGCCCACACGCCGACTCCAACGGGTCACTGGTAGAGCAGGCACTGCTAGCCTAGCCCCGCTGGGTTAGCTTAGCTAATAGCGGCGATGGCTAATCTACCACAGCGATCACTTATTAATGATTACAAAGCTGCAAAACATGATACTGTAACGGACTCGATGTTCTGATCTTTGAAATCCTGAAAATTGTCAGTTGCTGTGGCAACGTAGGGTCGCCGACACACAGAGTGAGAAAAAAGAACAATAGTTGTAGTTTTGAGTTCTTCTTCGGTGGTTTTTTTCTGCGTTATTTTCCCCTTTTCTGCGGCGCGATTACAAAAACCTATGTCTCAAGGTTTTTGTTGTTGGCGGGATTGTTCTGCCGCGGCAGCGCGCATACGGATGACGTGCAAAAGAATCGCCTGTTTTGCCCCACAGCGTTGTGCGCATGCGCGAATTTTCCAGGTCCAAACAATAACTTGCCTACAGCAAAACTAAAGCCAGTTCCTGAGACTTTAGAATCGTACGTTCACTTAAATATTGACATTTCAGGATGGATATATATTATAATGGTGATGATAACAAAATGCACTTAAATAAATCTAGAAATGAATTTACATGAAACATAAAGGGGTACAAACAATTTAACAAATCCTCAGAAATAAGAAGGAGGGGCTCCTGATGGTTTGTGAAGGGTTTCCAGTGAGGTACAGGAACAAAAGACAACCAAATAGAAGGAAAACCCATTTACACCTTCCAAAAATATTCATACCTTTTGGACCAGCTCTCACTTTCCTCCTGAATCCATGGATTCATCTCCAGCACTAAATTAAAGAATAGGGTGTGAATACTTTTGTAAGGCTGTGTGTTTTGTTAACAATGTGAAGTATGTGTTTCACTGCACTGCAAAAACGCAACATTTCACAAAGTAATTTTGGTCTAGTTTCTACTGCAAATACCTTAGTGCACCTCATATAAAGTTATAAATAACTTTTCAGCAAGATGTAGGAGCTTCTTTTAAGTCAATAATTCCTAGATATGAATTGAAAAGTTTTATTTGTTCTGGAAAATTATTTCACTAATATGAAAAAATGTTTTGTTATCAGTGAAATTAGCACTTTTACTTATCAATCAGTTTTCTCTTATTTCTAGTGTTCTAAGATATTTGCACTTATAGACCAAAAATACTTGATAAGTTTTGTGTTTTTTGTAGGTAAATGGTGACAGACAAACATGTTCACCATTATTTTTATTTAATCTGGTTCTGATTTATGGTGCCTGGTATTTAATTTCTCTCACCGTATGAGTTGTGATATTGCTTTTTGTTCATTCATGTGAGAGTAATCTGAGCAGGTTCATGTGCAGACAGTGGAAAGATGTGATGCTGGGGAGGATTTGGTGAAGCCTTGGACACTCTGTGTGTATAAACAGTGCAATATTTTCCAGTGTGATCCTTCTCCCTGCTCTCATCTGCCTGTGTTTGGTTTTCCAAGCGCCTGTGGAGGATCCTCAGTCCAAATCGTACTTCCGACGATGCCCCGTTTTCCAAAAGCAGACCTCCACATGGTATTTATTACAAGGGCATCATACAGTAACTCCAGCTCCTACTTTAACAACCCATCCATCAACTTCTCAGGATTTTTTTGGAGTCTAGACGGCGTGTCTAGACGAATCTCCCTCCCTTGTTGTTGCCCAAGCGCTCAGAACGGTCCTATTTATCAACCTGTCACGAATCACAGGGCTGATGCACTTTTTACCCTTGATTCCTTCCTCCGGTGTGACCTCTGCCCCGAGTTCCCTCACAACACCGTCCAGAATTTCACACGTTCCCTTCAGGCCGCGGTTCGGAGCAACAGACACCGGAGTTATTTTGGAGAGCTGGAGCCTGAGTGAGAAGCCTGCAGGGCGAGCCGCCAGGATTCACCAGGTAAACAGACAAAAGGACTGCATCTGTAAATATTTTATGATGTTTGCTGTGTGTTGTAGGAACAAAACAGGAGTAACTTTCAGCAAAAAAAAAAAAAAAAAAATTTAGATTGACTTTGGAGATTTTATAGAAAAACTTGGAAATTTCTGAGTTTGAAAAGTAATAAAAGAAATAGAAGAAACTCAGAAATATTGAGATCAAAAAAGAAAAAATCCTTGGAAATTTGAGCTTAAAATTTGCTAGAAGAAAATTTTATCTCCAAAGTTTCGTAAGTCAAAAACCTGCTAGAAAAAAGTCAGAAATTAATCTCAACATTTTCTAGAAAAGACACTGAATATTTCTAATTTTGAAAAGTCTCAAATGTTCTAGAAGAAACGCTGACATTTGTATATTAATTAAAATCCAGGAAATACAGCACAAGAAATCCTTTTTTTTCAGAAATCTCATAAATTTTGAGATTTATATACAAAATTTTGCATAAAAATTGAAATATCTGATTTTCAAAAGTTTTAAATTTACGTGAAAAAAATACATTTTTAGATTAATTTCTAAAACTTGGAAATTTGAGCTTGAAAACTTGACAAAATTTATATTTTTGAAATTCATCTCTGACATTTTGTAGAAAAAAAACTCAAAAATTTGTGGGTTTCAAAACTCAAACATTTTGAATGTTTGAAATGTCCAAGTTTTGTCTAGAAGGTCTTTCGAAATGTCAAAAATGTCCATGTTCTTTCCAGGAGATGTTTGAGGTTAATTTAAGTTTTTCTTGAAAATGTTTGAGAACTTCAGACATTTTATTACTAAAAAAAAAATTCTAATATTAATCTCAAGATTTCTGATGTTTTTCTTAAAGAACATTTTAGCCTTCTCAAACTCAAAAATTTCCTTTTCTTTACAAATAAGAATTCTGCGCTAAATCTCGTAAGTGTAGCAGAAATTTACTCCTTTTTTTAAAAAAAATCTATACTGGCCCTAAAAAGTTTGATGTGTTAACTGTACTAAGAAAAAAAGAAAGTTCTGATTATTTAATAAATGTGTTTGGAGTAAAGTGTGATATATCTGATAAATTGTGCAGACTTGATTGAAAGTCTAACTTCAGTGTTTAACTTTGAAAAAGTGAAGAAAATGAATTGGCCTCCCAAGGGAGATCATGCGCCCTCTGTCGTGACAAAAGAGTACTGCAACACCCAGCTAATCTTTGTTCATTTAAAAGCTGAAAGAAAAGAAAAACCTTTTCAACATTTGAAGTAAAATGAAAAGGTATTTATCTTAGTTATCTTAGTTGCTAACGTTACTGATTATCATTAATATTAAATAATCCCTGGTATATCAACTGGAATAATCCATTCCAAGTCAAATCTGAAGAAAAAAACTGATGTTTCGTTTTCCTCCGACTCAGAAAACGTTCATCTGGGTTCAAACAAGCTGCAGTAAAAATGTATTCTAGAAAATATTAGATGAATAAACACACTTTTCATATTTTCATTAAAAAAAAAGTACAAATGAAATACATTTATAACTGTGGTTTTAATACCTGGAAAAGATTAAACAGTGTGCACTGCAAAAAACACAAATCTACCAACTATTGCTGGTCTAGTTTCCAATGCACGTCATAGAAGACTTGAAATAGGACAAAATGAACTTAAAAAACCTTTAAAGTACGACTTATGATCTTGGTTTAAGTCAATAATTTCTTAATATTGATTTAAAATGACTGGTTGTGGATTATTTTTCCCTTTTTGTAAGTGAAACATCTGCCAGCAGAGCAACAATAAGCCATAAAGGAGATATTTACTTAAAACAAGCTCTTGTATTTCGCTGAAAAGTTACGTGAAAGTTTATCTTAAGTGAGCCAAGATATTTGCAGTCGGAACTAGACAATAAATACTGGAAAACATTTTGTGATTTTTGCAGCTGTGTCTTGTAGCATGATGCAATATATTTGCATTACTAACACTGTCAGTTTTATAATTGTTTATTTGGGAGAAAAGATGAATGAATCTGTTATTGTGTTATTAAAATACCATAATTCAGACATAACATTTTATTTTTTTTAAAGCAGGAACTTACTTACTTCTGTAATTTTTTGTGTGAAAATGTTACTTTGACTTTGACTAGAGTGCTTCTTGTTTATTTATTCGTTCTTCTTACTTAACGAAAGTGTTTGTGGACTTTCTATTTAGGTTCATTTGTAATTTCAAAGGGCCAGCATGTTTGTTTGTTTTGGTCCTGTGACGTTTCCAGGGTGTACCTCCGCCTCTCACCACATGACTGCTGGAAAAATGTCATCACAAGCTGGAGGTATGTGAGAAAATCCCACAAAACCATCAGCACACAAGGATGCATGTGAGCGATTACTGCTGCAGCAACACCAAGAAGCCCACAAATCTCCTGCGAGGCTCACCAGAGACATGGTGGCAATCCTCTGTCAGCTCATTGCAGAGGAAGGAAGAAATGTGACACCACCAGCCACATGGATAAGCATTTAATGAGAAGGAAGGAGGAAGGGAGGAGTAAAAGAAAACGGCGAAATAAGCCAGCAGGATGGCTGTGGTGACGGTTCTGATGGCGTCATCGTCCTTTTTGTGCTGGAAACCAACTTTCAGACCAACAACATGTAATCATGATGTCTGGAGCAACAAAGCAGACACATGTTTGTGTTATTCTTCCAGTGGAAACGACGCGATTTGTATATTTAGCGATGGACAGTTGACAGCGGTCGACGGCGATAACATTAATTAAAAAAGAAACATACAAAAACACGAAACCCCGTGTGTCATTACGTTTCTCTGAGCTTAAGGTGCAATACGCGTAAAGACAAAAGCAGAGACGGCGCGATGAACGAACCAACGACAACACAAAAGAGCGGGAGAAGCAGCGTGACGTAAAATGACATTCTGGCAGACGTCACATCTGAAAGTTGCTTTAAAGAAAGCTGAAGTGGAGCAAACATGAAATTCTATCTGATGAAATTCTGATGAAATTCTATCTGTCTATTTCTGTAAAAAGCAGGTTATTTGATGACTGTTAAGGAATAAAACTAAGTTTCTTTATTTTTAATATAGGCCTACACTGTAAGAAAGAAGTGGTCTAATTTACAGTAAAAAAAATGGCAGAATTTTACCATCTATAAGGATTTTACTGTATAAAATTGGTTCAGTAAAATTTGTAGAAATACTAATTTTATCATATAAATACAATAAAATTTCCAGTATAAATTTTAGCTACCAAGTTTGTTTTTACAGTGTAGTATTGTGAAATTTGTCATTGTGTTAAATATCCTCTATGTAACGTTATCTGATGAAATGACTGAAATATATAATATAATCTATTGAAATAACCCTGGCACACTGGAGCTCATACGTCATGCCCCTCTGTATCACTGAGGATGACGCACGCCGCCGCTTACGTCACGATGAAGTCACCATTTAGGGGGAGAAATCGCGAGAAGACGCTGTTGAGTCCTCTAAACGCAGGGATCATAATAAAGCCGGTCCTCTGATGAGTTCCGGGTCTTTTTCCCGCTGCGCTCGCGCTGCGGACGGGATGATGCGGCCCGGCAGCATCAGCATCCTCCGCCGGCAGTGACCGACAGGGAGGGCTCCCTCCATCCATCCATCCCGGGGCTGTTTCCTCCGCATGGAGCCCGGATATGTGCAGGCAGCGATGGCGATGGGAGAAGTGTCGAAGAGGGTGTCGGCTCGAAACGTGGCGGTGGAGAGGAAGAACCTCCTGACGGTCTGCAGGTCCGTTTGATTCAATGCTTTACTTTAATGTTCCCTTTTCTGGTCATATGAAGTCATGCAACCAAAGGGGGGACATGTGAGGCTGCGGAGGATGAATTGTGAACTGATGGCCTGGTTGCCATGTTGGGACCGCAGGGACTGAGGCATCATCACATTATGAGGCAGGGCCGGCCCGAGGCATGTGCGAGTTAAGCAGCTACCCCTCTAACTGCCCCCCAAAACACCAAGCTAAAGTGAAGTAGCAAACTGTTACATTTACCGGAGCAACTGTTTTTGAAAAATATTTTGTATTTTATTTTGAAGTGTCTCTAATTTTACTAAAGTAAAATTTCTGGATTCTCCATTCACTGAATAAAAAACAAGCATGTTTTTTTTTTTTTTTGGAAAAACCTTATTTAGACAAAAATTATTTTGCCTAATATTGTTATTTTTTTAATTAATTATATGAGTTATTGTCATTTTGATCTTTAACGTACCAAAACTTTCTCTTAGTTTTATATTTTGGTCTGTCTGATTATATAATTTTAAATTTTAAATGATTTATAATATGACCAGTTTCTTAGTAGTTTTTTACAAATACTTTTTTTTAATCTTGATTAATTCTTCAGACGGCTGCTTTTTACTTTTACTGGGGTAAAAATATGTTAAAGTACTTCTATTTAATGATCTATTTCTATTATTTTAATAGTGTGGTGTCTCCAGTTAAATGTCTGTTTTAGAAACTTTTGGGCTCATATTCTGCATTCGGTGAAGTGGAGAATAATTCGTCCTGCTTTCTGTGCTGCTGCTGCTGCGGCCGAGATGCCAATGTCCTCGCGTTGAGGACAGTCGTCCAGTCATAGTCCAAACTCAATGAGACATTGTTGTCTTGGGAACAATGGAGGCTGAAATCGCTGTGTTCAGTCAAGCTTTGTCTTATGGATGTGTGAAAATGACACTCTGTGGTTTAAAGTTTTACATTAATTAGCAGATTAGTTTTACTGCAATTTATTTGCTGAAATCTAAGGTTGTTTCAAAATAGTCTTTGTTTCACTAAATTCATCTGTGCAGTAACAGCATTTTTGTTAAATTTTGTTATTTGAAAGAACAAAATGACAATAATTTACATAAGTAACAAACACACACAAAAAAAAAGTCAAGCAAAAGAAAATGTTTCCAAATTAGTTTCTTTCAATGAAAAACTGCAGGTCTGTTGACCTTTTGGTTAAATCATGATTATTTTTTATTCTGTGGGTAAAAAGCCAAACATTTTACTCAACTAAGAGTAGAGATACTTAATAAGAAAATTACTCAAGTAAAATTAAAAAGTACAATGTAGTAAAGCTACTCCTAAAAGTAAATTTATATCTAAAAAAAGGTTACTGCTATAAGAAGGAGATGCTTTTGGAGAGCATTTATGTTGCTGAAAAGTAAAAGTTTGGTGAAAATCTTTTGGAGAATCAACCTGTCTGAGTGTGAACAGAAATATAAAAGCTCTTCAGTAAATTGTTTGTTAGAGCTTCCTGAAAGTCGGCAGGTTTTCTTTGCAGGAAGTGGATGACATCAGGCCGGATTTCAGAAAGGAGGATCCATCAGCAGTGATGCTCTCAGCAGTCACCAGAGTACTATAACTATATGGAGGATTAAATCATTTCCTTTCCACTTAGAATCAAATCTGCTTCTAAATATCAAGTAGAAATTCAAAATATTTTTAAGAAGCGCTGAGATAATGTTGGATTTTAACATTTTTACCAGTAAAGTGCTACCATATTTTGATTATTGTTTAGTTTCCTGTTGGAAAATCTATTTTCCAATGTTACTTAATTTTTTATTTCTCTCCCATGCAGGTTTTCCGTTAAGACTCTGCTGGAGAAATACACAGCCGAGCCCATCGACGATTCATCCGAAGAGTTCATCAATTTTGCAGCAGTCCTTGAACACATCCTCAGCCACCGTTTTAAAGGTAGCAGACCCGATTATCAGAGCCCAACTTCAGGTTGAAAAACAAAAATAATGAGTTGCTGGCAATGATTAAGTTACCTGGATTTAAATGTAACTAGTTGATGGTTCTGGTTACAAAAGTTACTGCCAAAAATTAACAGCAATAACTTGGATTATTTAACCTGTCATGAGAGTAAAGAATGTGGGTTAATTTAATTTTACATGCTAAATAATTAGATTGTCAATTTAATATTAATTTCCAAATAACGTATGGAGCTTGCTAATTAAGTATTAAGATGTAAACTGCACATTTAGCTAGCAGGCTAGATATTTAATTTACCACCTAAATATTGGTAAATTAGCAACTATTTAGATGCAAACTAAATATTAAGTCCTATTTGAAACTAAAAACTTACCAAGTGAACTAAGTAATTCGTTTGGAACAATGTATTCAGCTACTAGCTAAATATTCCATTGTTTAGCTCAGCATTTAGTTAGCAAGCAAAATATTGTGTTTACCAACTAAATATTTAGCTTAGCAATTGAATATTTAGCTCCATCTAAACATTTAGCTAGCAAGCTAAATATTTCCAAGCTATAGACTTTAATCCAAACTAGACATTTCATTAGCAAGCTAGTGAAATATTTTTACTTGGTAAACTAAATATTTAATGTCTAGGCTAGTAGACTAAATTTAGTCTACTTAGCATGTTATTTAGTTAGCATAAAATACTTTATTACAGAACAAATAACCCAAAATATTGCTGTTATTTTTGTTAGCCTATATGCTGTTTTTAACCTAGATATAATTCATGTTGCAAAAATGTTTTTACTTTCCAGGCTCCAGTAGCTGGTTTGACGGTCAGAGGAGTTATTGGGACTACATCCGCCTGGCGTGTGCTAAAGTCCCCAACAGCTGCATCAGCAGCATTGAAAGCATGGAAAACATCAACACATCTCGAGCGAAAGTGAGTCACAAAAACCCAACAGGAGTAGGTAGCTGTCAGCAACCTACTCTTGTTGTAGCATAGCACCATAGCGGTGTTGGTGTAAATTGTAGCTGTGTTTCCATTTGATGTTTTCAGGGTCGAGCCTGGATGAGGGTCGCCCTCATGGAGAAAAGGCTGTCTGAGTACATCGCCACTGCTCTGCGGGACAGCAGGACAACCAGGTCAGACTGGCTGCAGTCTAAAATGACCGACTGTCCCACAAAGTGACCGACTGTCCTCCAAAGTGACTGTCTTCCAAAGTGACCAACTGTCCTCCAAAGTGACCAACTGTCCTCCAAAGTGACTAACTGTCCTCCAAAGTGACTGTCCTCCAAAGTGACTGTCTTCCAAAGTGACTAACTGTCCTCCAAAGTGACTGTCTTCCAAAGTGACTAACTGTCCTCCAAAGTGACTAACTGTCCTCCAAAGTGACTAACTGTCCTCCAAAGTGACTAACTGTCTTCCAAAGTGACTGTCCTCCAAAGGACTGTCCTCCAAAGTGACTGTCTTCCAAAGTGACTAACTGTCCTCCAAAGTGACTGTGTTCCAAAGTGACTGTCCTCCAAAGTGACTGTCCTCCAAAGTGACTAACTGTCTTCCAAAGTGACTGTCCTCCAAAGTGACTGTCCTCCAGTGACTAACTGTCCTCCAAAGTGACTGTCTTCCAAAGTGACTGTCCTCCAAAGTGACTGTCTTCCAAAGTGACTAACTGTCTTCCAAAGTGACTGTCTTCCAAAGTGACTGTCCTCCAAAGTGACTAACTGTCTTCCAAAGTGACTGTCCTCCAAAGTGACTAACTGTCTTCCAAAGTGACTGTCCTCCAAAGTGACTAACTGTCCTCCAAAGTGACTAACTGTCTTCCAAAGTGACTGTCTTCCAAAGTGACTGTCCTCCAAAGTGACTAACTGTCCTCCAAAGTGACTAACTGTCCTCCAAAGTGACTAACTGTCCTCCAAAGTGACTAACTGTCTTCCAAAGTGACTGTCCTCCAAAGTGACTGTCCTCCAAAGTGACTAACTGTCCTCCAAAGTGACTGTCTTCCAAAGTGACTGTCCTCCAAAGTGACTGTCCTCCAAAGTGACTAACTGTCTTCCAAAGTGACTGTCCTCCAAAGTGACTGTCCTCCAAAGTGACTGTCTTCCAAAGTGACTAACTGTCCTCCAAAGTGACTGTCTTCCAAAGTGACTGTCCTCCAAAGTGACTGTCTTCCAAAGTGACTAACTGTCTTCCAAAGTGACTGTCTTCCAAAGTGACTGTCCTCCAAAGTGACTAACTGTCTTCCAAAGTGACTGTCCTCCAAAGTGACTAACTGTCTTCCAAAGTGACTGTCCTCCAAAGTGACTGTCCTCCAAAGTGACTAACTGTCCTCCAAAGTGACTAACTGTCTTCCAAAGTGACTGTCTTCCAAAGTGACTAACTGTCGTCCAAAGTGACTAACTGTCCTCCAAAGTGACTGTCTTCCAAAGTGACTGTCCTCCAAATTGACTGTCTTCCAAAGTGACTGCCCTCCAAAATGCCTGACTGTCCTTTACAGTAACCATGTTGCTCTGTCTCTGTTGGTATTTGTGCTTCAGGAGGTTTTACTCAGAAGGAGCCATATTGCTGAGAGAAGAAGCCTCAGTGCTAACGGGGATGCTCATTGGTGTGGGAGCCATAGATTTTAGGTACAGGGATTGACCTTTGACTCTTGTACAGCTAGCAATATTTTTGTTGATGTAATTTATGGTCTTAATTTAGAGCGTCTACCTTCCCACAGTTTCTGCCTGAAAGGAGAGGCCCTGGACGGGAAAACCCCGGCGGTGGTCGACTACACTCCATACTTGAAATTCACACAGAGGTAAAGGCAGCAAAGCAACAGATAAGGTTGTTTAGACAGCAGCAGGAATGTTTCTCTCTGGAGCTTTAAAATGAGAAACGATCTGCATCAGTCGGGTCGGTCATCTTACTTTAAACAGTTAAAAAAGATGGCCGTAAAACAGTCACAAAGAGCGATAGGAAGTCCAGCAGTTGTTTTCTGTGCAGCTATGAATACTTGAGTGATGATGATCGGCGGAGTGTGGACAGCAGCGCCAGCGACGACAGCGTCCCCGAGCATCCGTACGTCCCGCTGGTCACCGACGACGAGACCTGGAGCACAAAGTGTCGCAAAATGGAGCAGAGGTTCAAGATCGTCAACGCCCAGAAGGTGTTCGCACATTTCACTGCCTGATCACTAAAACAGCCTCTCAAGTTGAAACAGGAGAAAAAATTATGCTAAAAAAACTTGAGTTGAAAATGTTAAAATTTTGAAACTCACAAATTTCAACGTTTTTTTTTTATTATTATTTATTTCTGAGACTCATTTCAAAATTTTTTAGATGTTTTCTAGTAATTTCTGACTTTTCAGGTTCTTTTTCTTGAACATTTCTGAGTTTACTGGAGCAGCAGTTCTGTTGTAGCAAATGTTCGACTTTTCTGACAGAATTTTTAATGTTTCTTTTTGTTCTTTTTTTTTTTTTTGAAAATTTGAGATTAATCTCCAAGTTTTTTTCTCACAATTTTTTTACCTTTCAAGCTCAGAAAATGTAAAGTTTTTTTTTACTTGAAAATGTCTGAACTTCACCTCAAATGCATCAGTTTTAGCTAGAAAATTTTCTACCTTTGAAGCTGAGAATTTTGTTTTTTATAAAATTTAAGATTAAGCTAAAAATTTAAGATTTTTTGTAGCAAATCATCTACTCTTCCAGAATTTTTTTTTGCAGAAAATATCAAATTAATACATTTTTTCTAGCAAATTTTCTGCTTTTTAAGATGACAAATAATTATTTCTTTTTTTTTTCTTTTTTAGAAAATGTTAGATTAATCTTAAAAGCTTTTTTACTTTTCAAAGTTGGACATAAAAAACCTTTTCAAAACTTTCTGAGTTAAATCTCAAAATTGTTGATTTTCTTCTAGCAAATTTTCTACTTTTGAGAAATTCTATTACATTTTTTTTTGAAAATTTGAGATGAATCTAAAAATGTCTTAATTATTTAACCGAAATTTATTCCTCATTTTTCTTTAATGCCTCATAACGTGCTTTATATTTTAAAGCACACTACTAAATGAGCACCAGTGTATTTTGTGCATAAAAAAATCAAGCATAAATTTGTAAAACCCTGTCAGGGGTACCTGGAGGAGCTCGTGCGTCTGCGTGAATCTCAGCTGAAGAACACGGAGACGGAGAACAAGAAGCTGAAATCTCAGCTGGAGGAAATTCAGAGCCAAAGCCAACTGGAGAAGAAGGAGCTGGAGGCTGTTATCCTGGAGCTGCAGGAGCAACTGTGAGTTCCCTCAACATGAACTCTTCATCATGTCTGTCATGAGATCAGGTCACAGGAATCTTAGGGAAGGGAAGCTTTACTCAACAGGACAGGAATTCATTCACAAAATTAATGGTAGCACATGCTTAAGCCTCTTTGCATGTTTCCGGGTTCCACAAAACATGTTTATTTCGGTTGTTGCACATGTCATTTTTAGATAATGAGATTTTCGTCTGTTGAAACTGGCAGAACGGCGTTGACGATCAAATTGAGCTGTTTTACGGCGTCCTGTCGCTTTAAATCCAAATAAGTTGCTGAATGTGAAAATGGCTGGAAACAAATGCATAACTATACAGCCGTATGTCTTTGAAAAGCATTAGTAGAGCCTCCTGCAAACCGCATGCAGAAGGTAGTGGTTTCAGGACGATAAGACAAGAGCAAAACGCCTGTCTTTTCCAGCAGCCATTGTACAGATTTTACAGCATAGATTTATAAAATCAAACACGCTGGAGCTCCAGTTGGGTTGCTAAGTAATGGGCCGAGTTCGGTGACGGTGCAGGTTTTGTCATTTTCTGCACAACAAAAAACATGAACTTATTGCCAGAGTTAGTTGGGTGTTTTGTTGTTTACGTGATGGGATTGTTTTTAGACTGAGTTGAGACCCGAATGGAAGCATAAAAACGTGCAAAAAGTGAATTTTGCATCATGTCAGCTTTGATTTAAAGGAGGCCGTCTTACTGGTTTTTGGAATAAAAATAAACCAGAATATTTACGCCGTGTTCCCCCCTGCTGTGCTTTAGGACCAGCCTGATTCCATGCGACTCCAACCACCTGGCCAAAGATCTGCCGATCCCGCTCATCAACCAGTGGCCGACCCTTGACCCCTACGACATCCAAGAGGACAGGAAGCTTTTTCGCAGGTTTGACCGGCAAAACTAAATACAACAATTCATTATTAATCTTTAATTCCCTGAGATTTAAAACACAATATGTGAGAAGTTTGGATAATTCAAAGGTCGTCTTGGCGAGAACAATTTATAAATTTAAAATATGGATAGTTTAGGTTTGCTTGATTTAAAAATACAGATTTTATTCATAGATTGGTCTTGTGATCTAAGTTTGTTTCCTTCTTTTATTTGTTTTTGCTATTATTGGCACATCATTATTTTTCTTCCTTTGTTTTTTTATATTCTTACTAAACTATATTCCATTCAGTTTTTATTCTTTTTTTGTTTTTATTTTTGTTGCATTAAAAGGATCCAGAAAGTCATAGATTAAGGATTTAAACACTTCTAGCTATGGATTCTGACCATCTTTAAAAGTTTTATTTTGTACCCAGTATAATTTTTCCACTGGATAAATGTGTGTTAAATGACAAATAAATTAAAATTACTGGCTGAAATTTTCTTTCTTTTCTTGTTTTAATTCAATCTGCTGCCACACAATGAAACCAGAACCAGAGCTCACTGCGAACAGGAATATTGACTGCATTCAATTCGTCTGTCAGTTAATTCAGATTAATGCGACTCCGGGCGGCTGCTGAGCGTCTCCCTCTCTTGCCCTCCTGTTGACCTGCAGGAGGAGTTTCCCGAGCACGGAGCTGCTGTCAGTGGAGGTCAGCCTGGACTCCGACTCCCAGAGGATCGAGGGCAAACAGAACGGAGGAACCTGGAGCACAGGTGGCGCTGCAGCCGCTGAAATGTTTACTTTTAAAACTCTAAATGATTATTTACCCTAAAGATTTAAAATGGCCGCTTTGTTTCCCCTCCAGGAAAGGACTACACCCCCTCCATGATGGGCCTGTGTGGGTCTTTGGCTTCTCTTCCAAGCACCAAATCTCTGGCTAGCTTCAAATCAAGTGAATGTCTGGTCAACATCAGCACAGAGAACAGCCCTGCTCTGTCTCCCAGCTAGGGGGCGCCAAAGACGCACTGGAAAAACAGACAACTCAACTGTTAAACAAAGTGACTGCTCCTCACTGCGGTGGCCTGTTAGGGCCTCTATAGATACAAAAGGAGAGTACATTTCTGCAAAAAAAAAAACTAATATGTTGACATGAATCTGAAAAAAAACAAAAAATAGTCTAAGTTCCAAAAGTAAAATATTTGCAAGAATTTGTTTTTTTTTATAATTTTGAGATTAATCTTACAAAGTTTCCAGAAGAATCTTTCAAGTTTCTGAGTTTGAAAAGTCTAAAGTTTGCAAGAAAACAAAGAGAAATTCTGAGATTAATGTCAGAAATATTGTGGATAAAACAAAGAGATTTCTTGGCTCCAAAAGTTTAAAATTTGTGAGAGAAAAAACTCGGACATTTTGAGATTCATCTTAGAAATGTTCTAGAACACAGAAATAGTCCAAATTTTACAAGAAATAAAAATACCTCAGAAATTTTGAGACTAATCTCAGACATTTTGTTCAAAAGATCAAATAAATTTCTGAGCTGCAAAACTAAACAAAAAAATCAGATTAATTTCAGATAAATATCAGAAATCTTGCAGAAAAAATTTGGAATTTTCTGATTTTAAAAGTTTAAAATTCACCCAAAAATCTCAGTTATTTTGAGATCAATGTCAGAAATTTTATTAAAAAACCATGAAATTTTTTTTAAATTCTCCGATTAATCTCTAAATTTGTGACTATTTTTTTCTCACAAACCTCCAAAAGTTTTTTGGAGCTCACATTTTCTGGAAAATTTCAGCGATTGATCTCAAACTTCTTGAGTTTTTTGTCAGAAATCTACTCCTTTCTTTCTGGCCGTGGCGCGCCGTCGTACCTCACTGATGTGCGCCTTCACCTGACCCTTGACCTTTACGCTCTGAGCCCGTCTCTCTCTCTCTCTCTCTCCTGAATCAAACTTGAGTGAAGGAGGATCCTGCATGTCCTGAACTTTTCCAACATGGATGCAGAAATAGCTGCTGTACTGCCTCCGTCTTCATCTCCACTGCATTTCAGAGCCGGTTTACGCTTCACGCAGATAAAGTCCCACATCACCGTCCGTCATCACCGTGCATCCTCGTGCGTTGAGTCCGCCGTGTCTTTGTCAGTCCGTCTGTGTTTTCTCTCTGTTGCCTAACAGGCAGACTGGCTTAACTGTTGTAACATTTTAGGATATAAAAGCAGCATTTTACCATAGTTAAGTACAATATTATCAGCGCTGAGGCTTTTTACAGTGAGCCAAGTGATCAATGGTGAAGATTATTTAAAATGTAACAGAGAAAGTATGTAATAATCCAATTAGATGCTGATTTTAGGGTTTACCTCGGTAAACCTGTTGCATAAAAAGACAAAATGCTTTGGGACTATGCAGGATGAATGTTTCCTTTGTGTTTTTCTACCCGCTTGATGAAATAGTTTGAGTCTCTGAGAACTAGTGAATCTGCCACGTGTCTGTGTGACTTCGTTCCCCTTGTTTTCATTTCCCGACTACTTTCATGATGCCCTCCGTACTTTTTTGTAAGACCTGGTAAGGACATGAAGAAAAAAGGTGAAAATAAAGTCAAATTTCACTGAAGTAGCATATGGTTTGAAACATTTAATTAAAAAGATTCAGTGATTACAAACACGGATCCTCCATCATGGTTAACAGTGAATCTCAGCTGTTTATATTTATATTTTGTTTTCTTCTACTACATTTGAAATAAGACAAAACTAACTTAAAGTACATTTTCAGCAAAATACAGGAGCTTTCTAAGTCAATAATTCCTTAAAGTTGATGAACATATGCAGAAAATGCCCTGGAGTTTATACATTCAGTACATTTTTCATCAATATCAAATAATTCTTGACATTAAAAGCTCCTTTATTTTCCTGAGCAGTTACTTGAAAGTTAGTTTTGAATAATTTCAAGTGTACTAAGATATTTTGACTTGGAAACAAAACTCTCAAAACCAGAAAGTTGAGATTTAAATTGTAAAACAAATGTAACATAATCTTTCCCCATTGAATAACTGATCAAATCTAGTGATAAATTTTGCTACTGCAGTGAGAAATTAATTTATTTTAAACTTTTTACACATCTTTAACAACATGTTCAGTAAAAATGGAGGATGCTGTTATTTTTCCTCCATCAACATTTCAATCTATTGCCGTGTGGTTGACTGCTGGAAATCATCGCATTACTTAAAACTGCAATAAAAACTGCCTTTTTTTGGAAACAGTAATTGCCGATGTGCACATGTTGTTCCTCCAAATAAGCATCTCGCCGTCGGATATGGATTCACATTTCCCGATTATGGGATTATTCCCAAAGTTGTTGGATGGGATTGGAGACGAAAGTCGATAAAAATGATCAAATGAATCCTGAGTTTTTAAAAGACTTTTAGTTCTAGTTTCACCGGCAGATTATTTTGCTAATAACAAAACTCTCTTTTTTTTATTTTACGGGTGAATTAGCACATTTTTCATCCATATTCATCAATTATACTAAGCTTATAAGTGAAAGTTACTCTATGCGTTTTGTGTAGCAAAGATATTCACTGGCACCCAAAGTTTGGCACACGTTTCACTCAGGATGTTAATTCCTGACGCACCGCCTATTACTATTTCTTTTCTTTAAATAACTACCAAATATAAACATGACAAAAGTTTCCCGCATTAGAAATTGGTCTGCTGTACATTAAGGAATTACTGACTTAAAGTAAGTTCATATTTTGCTGAAATGTTACTTATGTGTTGGTTTTGTCTTAATTTGAGAGAATTACACTCGTCATTGGACATTACTTTGTAAGTTTTTGTGTTTTTCAGTTGAATAGATGTTGGATTTCAGTTATGGCGACTGAAAATTGCTCTTTTGTGTCACAATGAAGAAATTCTGGTCCACGTTTCTTTGCAGAATCAATTTAATTCAGCCTCACTGGACCAAAAATGCCTGGTCAGATTTGTGTTTTTGCAGTGTACCTGAGATGTTCTGACCCCCAGAATGACTGTTAAAAGTTTTAACATTTTAATTTTGACTGAAATCTTCCTTGTTATGAAGATTATTTGTTGCACAGAAGACTTTGGTGTTAATTTTCATATTACTGCTTTGAGATTCAACTTCTTTTCCACAACACTGACAAAGTTAGTTTGTTGATTTAACTCCAGAAAAAAGCCACACCACAGAATCAGCTGACTGCAGTGTCATTTACTGTAATACTAAGAAACCCACCAAGCCACCGTCTTCCCCCCCTCCTCCACTGTTTTTCCACAGTTTTCTTTGCAAAGCTAACTTTGTCTTGTCTCCCTTCAGATAGGTTTGAAATAGCTCACGTGAGGTCATAGGTCAGGCTCATTTCTCCATTACCTCGGACAAATAGACAGAGCTAAGCAAACATTAGCTGAAGGTCCTTTGGTAAATGTTGGAAATGCTTTATGTGGGACGTGCATTCCTGATTGACGTACTGTCCAATTAGCTCCCTGGCTGTAAATGAATGGATGCCAGTGGGTTTTGTGAAGAGTTTGAGTTTAGTTATCAGGCTTTGTCTCCGTTTCTTTGCACGTGCGACAACAATTCTTGGGTCGTTTCTTCATTATAGTTTAATTTTGTTTATTTCGTTGTGACTGACTGAGTTAGTTTTAACTTTTAGAGTGCGCTTGCTAGTTTTTATAATGATTAGTTAAATATTGTTAGTTATAGTTATATTTTTTATAGTTTTTTTTATTTTTAGGGGCAGAATTAAACAACCTTGAGAGATATTTATAATTGGGTAATGAATACTCAACAGAAGGTGTAATTTTCTAAAACTGTATTCAGTTATTATTGAACAACCAACTGACTGTGGCGTTTTATCCCAGCTTTGGCCGTTAAAGCGTACGAACTAAAGTGCCTCCAGGAGGGCATGGAGTGCCGTAAATTGCAGACAGATGACGTAAACAGCTTGGGTGGTGGAAAACATGAAAACGAAGAGTATTATAGCTATAAAATGAGTATGTTTTAAATAAACGCACAATGCAGTTCCAGTTAGTTTTAATTTTACCTCATGAATTACCGTTTTTATTTATTTCAGTAAACAAAAATGTTTTCTCAATTTTTTGCTAGTGTTTGTTTATTATGATACCCTAACAAGCAGCCGAAACCATATGGAAACCCATTATCTCTGCATTGGGGGCATCAATCCATTCGAGGAGGGCACAGTTTTGGATCTCCGCGGTTTTGATGAGGGGACGCGTTGAGGTTTGGCGCTGGTCCGGGGTCAGCGTGAGAAAGCGGTGTCACGTTATCTATTGCCCTCTTCCCCTGTCTCCACCGATGGCACTCCCTTTCACACAGAGGCAGGACATTTATCTCACACAAAGCATGCTGTCCTGCTAACACGCACACACACACACACACACTCACCCCCACACACATGCACACACACGCCCACATGCACGCACGCACACACGCACACACACATGCACACACACACGCATGCACACACACACACACACATGCACACACACATGCACACACACGCACACATGCACACACACACGGACATGCACACGCACACACACACACACACACACCCACACACATGCACACACACACGCACGCACACGCACACACACATGCACACACACACACACACACACACACACACAGCTGGCAGTTATTGGTTGAAAAAAGGATCAAATGAAGAAGATGGCGACATATTTTGATTGTATGTTAACTTGGATTACATTTACTTAACCTTTTTGGAAAAATGAACTTTTAGGGGTATTTCTACTACGCTGTAACTTGGAGTAATTGCTACGCTTACTTGAGTAAAGTTTCTGGATTCTCTACCCACCGAATAAAAAACGAACAAATTCACCAGACAGACGAGACACGGTTTTTCTTAGAGTTTCATCAGTTATTTATTAAGAAAATGATTTGGGAACGTTTTCTTTTGCCTGATTTTGGTATTTTTTGTTACTTTTATTAATTTTTGTCATTTTCTTCCTTAAGATGAGAATTCAAAGAAGAAAAAATTTGGTATTTTAAAATACCAATATTTCCACCTAACTTTATATTTTGATCCGTCTCATTGTGTAATTTTTAAACATTAATGATTAATAATTTACTTAAGTAGATTTGTTTCCAAATACTTTTCACTCTTTTAGATGGTCACGTTTTACTTGTACTTGAGTAAAAGTTTTCTAAAATGTACTCAAGTAATCCTGCAAGTTCATGTTTTCATTTTGATTCTTTTTTTTCTCTCATTTTGCTTTTAATTATAGACTTTTTAAAAATCCAGCTGTGCCCCCTGTTTCCTAAGAGACCAGAATTTGTTGTAGTCGATGAACAACTGAACCTTGATGGCCCTGCAGAATATAGTTTAGAAAGTACAGAGCACCGAACCGTGAAAGACTGCTCACATCCTCTTTGAGAACTTTTTGAAAGTTAACCTGAAATGCACAACAACCCGACTACTGTACAGGTTTCTGCATTAAGCTGTTAAAAGATAGCTTTCTGCATTTCACCTACGTATTGTACATTTGTTTATCGATTGTTGGTTTTCATATATTTCTGTTTTATTATGTTTCTCACTTCCCTGCCTTTTGTTCTATGCAATGAATTAACAATAAAATTCATTTTAAATGAATGAAAGCAATAAGAAGATGTATAAAATGAAATGGAAATTGAGTGTGACAATGATTTCACTTTGCAAGAAATTTCCACCCGTCGTTGTGACAGAAGATTCACCCGAACAAATCAGGGTTGCTGCAAACATTTTCAGGCAAAACAAATCAACAATTTTCAAATATGAGGGTCTCACTCTGGGATCTGCTGATTGGTCTGGAGCTAACTATTGTTAGTAATTAAATACCATAACAATTCTCTCAATTTTATGTTTTTCCTTTAATGAAAGGAATATGTTGACAAGTAGAAATTTTATAGCTCTATGTGTGATTTAATGAGATGGCCTGCAATGTTTGATTTCACAGAGAAGTTTGGATAGTAGCTATAAATACTTGCCAGAAGTGATTTACTGTCATAATTATTCCCTTTTTGAAAGCAGTCTGCTCATCTGTAAAGAAGTGGGTATCAATAAAAATGAGAATTTCCAGCCCAACAGCATGAAATTTAATATTTTGAGGGATTTTAAACGTAGTAAATCTGTTAATGCGACGTATGAATGGGGGCGGGGCCTGAAAATTTTATTGTGCGAGATGTGACGGATTGACGTGGCCATTGACCAATAGGGTTCAAGAGCGAGTCCCCGCCAGCCAATCAGAAGTCAGAGCTGCGTCTAAACTCGGCATAATTAAATCCACTCCAGCGTGGTTGCGGTGGAAGTGTTTTGAGTTTGCCATTAAAGCCAGAACCCTGGAGGGGGAAGAGAACCGCGTCTAACTTTCGCAACTTCCAAGGCCGTCCAAAGCACGAAAAGCACATAATGAAACAGGCCTCCAAATGAGCCCGGAAGACGCAGGAGTTGACGTTAGAGAGACTTTTTTGAAGCCGGAGCCGCTTCCTCGTTCGACCGAGGAGTGAAACGTCTCAACATCCTCACAAAGAAACTTCGCCTTGCTAGGCTGCTAACTCGAAAACGACCGAGTCAACAGCAGAGAAAAGTATCGCTGGCGACGGCGCTCGCACAATAAAACGCCTGTATGTCGAGCTGAGTGACGTGAAGTCCTGTAATTCGCCGTGGAAGCGCGATGTGTGCCGTCCGGGCCAGAACTTTGTAACGGTTTCGAGTCATCATCATCATCATCACTCCGGGAGGAAGAGCCGCCGCGGGGGCAACTTCAGCCGAGCCACGAGCAGCAGCCCGAGCCGCTCATCCGAACCCGGGCCGCCGGTTCTGAGGCGGTCAGCCCAAGCTGGTTCCAGCAGACATGTCCGGCCGAAGTGGAGCGGGACATCCCCGGCCCGGCTCTCTGGGTCCGCAGCCCCTCAAGGCGACGGTTCCCTTCAGGCTGGCCAGCAAACCGAGACCGAACCGCAGGGATGGGAAGTCAGGTATGGACTCAACACGACACCTGTCCGGCTTAGAAACAGAAACATCAGACCAGGAGGATTTTTATTTATCCCCCCCAACAGGAAAATGACTCCAATCAATTAATGCTTTAAACGCAACATATTTGGACTTATTCAGCTGCAATCTGAGCCATTTTTGCTTTTCTGAATGAAACAAGAGCTGCAAATGTTTTGACTTGTAATTTGAACGAATGTCTGCTGGAGGATATATGTTGTACTTTTTATTTTAAATCTATTTTTACGCTTTAAAGTGAAGAAAAGTTGATATTAGTGGAAAAATATTGATCTACAAAATATTGCTGGTACCTTTAGTATCATTATTTTGTGGAAATGCACCTAATTTATAAAAAAAGTAGGTCTAAATGTTTTTTTTAACTTTATTATTGGCTGAAGTTGTTTATTGCACATCATTGTTAATGAAACACCACATAGGAAGAAATAAGATTATATCAATAATCAAACACTAATGGGCTTCTTACAAAACACTTAGTTATAAAATGCATTCATTTATTTTAGGCTCTTAATGTTGCATTAAATATTAGGTAAAACAAATAGGAAGTGAGTAACATGTACTGAGAATCTGGATGTGATTTTTCTATTTGCAAAATAAATTCTTAATTTGTTTTCATTCTCCTTCCAGAAGGCAGAAGCAGCTTAAAGGTTACTGCAGTTTCACAAACCCTTTTCCTGCCTGATTGAATGTTTTCATCAGGTGGTTTTAAAAAAGTTAATTTTTTTAGATATGACTACTATTACACCAAAAGTTTTTTTTTAAACTGCTTTTATTTTTTTTATTTGAACCAGGAAAGCAATAATTGTACATAGCATGTTAGTTATAACAGTCTTAAACATTGATTTGTTCTTTTGTATGCATGAATTTAAAATGATGGCTGATGTTTTTTTTTATAGTGTAACATTATGAATGTTACAAACTGACATTTCCAGGGGTTATTAGTCAGCCTGTGTAACCTAAATGGGTGGGGTTCGTTCAGTTTTCACACCCTGACTGTCTAGTTTTATCGTCTGGGCAGTGCAGTTCAGTTGCTTTCGCAGCAACAAGTTGGGGAGGGGCAGTGCTATAAAATCATGAGCAACATTCATATCTCTACAAAATAATTGATAAAATATTGGCGACGTTTCTGCAAAAAGTTTTTATGTCCTTTAAGAACACCTGTCGTTTTGATGAGGAAATTAAAATGCAGATTTTCATAGAAAGAACTTAAATATTTATCTTTTTTGAAGAATAAAATGATCATTTTCATTGTCCAGATTTATTCCAAAATAATCAGATTCCCTCACAAAACCGGATGGTTAAACAAAAACATGAATTTCTGATGCATAATGTCTAACCTGCTTGCCTTTTTAAAATACACATAATGTTTTTCTGCAACGTTTGTAGCTGGAAAGCCCAGACTGCACCAGCTGAGCTCTGGCATGAGACGGACGATGTCGCTGGACGCCATCATCGGACCGTACCTGCAGGGACACTGGCCGAAAGAACCCGAAGTTCACTGCGGTCCGTCCTGCAAGGACAAATCAACCCAGGTGTGCTCTAAATGGAGTTAATCAGCAATAAATTGATAGTAAATTAACATCACTGCAATAATTTCCATTTGTTAACGAGAAGCTAACAAAAAGCCTCCATTTTGAAACTCGGCCTGTCGCGATAAATCGAGAAGCTATTGCGATAAACGATAATATTGTTGTTTTTGAGATACTTTTCAATTAATATAATAGCAATATTAATTGCAAATTGACATTCTCAAAGATCAGTAAACTTTAAAATCCAGAGAACATTTAAATGGAAGACATTTTAAATATCAAAAATAAACAACAAATATAGTCTGTGTAAACAAAATTTGTATTGTGATTAATTGATTTATTGCAACATTTGACACTCAGTAAGAACTACTTAGTTTGCACTTCCTTCCACTTATGCCTGAATTTTTATCATTTTAAATATTTTTTTTCAATGCAATTTTGGTTATTGAGACTTAATAATTCATTTTAACTATTGTTGTTTTCTTCGTTCATTTTGTACATTTGAAATATTTTCCAGTTCCAGCATTGAATGTTCTTTAGAAATGTATATTTGAGAGGTTATACTTGCATCAACATGTATCTGTTTTTAGTTGAAAATGGTTTCAGAATAACAATATTATCATTTGCCTCAACAACTTCTGCAGCATTTATTATTGTAGGAGCTTAAAAGCGAGTCGGAGGAACGAGTTTATGACAACTTTGTTAAAGCTCTGCATGGATTTACAGTTAATTTAGCTTAAATGTACAGATAGGCTTGAGTCATGGTGTCTGTTTATTACCCTGCAGTTTTCTGTAAAGCTAGAAGTGAGACGGTGAGCAGAAGAAGGGAAGGGAGAGCGAGCGAGAGAGGAGGAAGGAGTGTCCGGTGCTTGCACAGCTATTACATGGTGTGAACCACAACCATGAGAACTGTGACTGAAGTCAGCTGATGAGGCTGTTCTGGCTGCACCCATCCTCTCTGCGCCGTGTGTGCAGGCCCTCTTTGGTTGCCCACATCCTCCACTCGCTCTATTTTTCAGTTTCTCCTGCTCTTTTGCTCTTCTAGAAGTGAGAAGAGCTTATCTGTGGGTGTTAACTGTTTAAAATATCAAGTCAAGAAGGCGATAAAACCACCTTATCTGTCTGATTCAGGCCAGAGGTTTTGATGTAACATGAGGTTTATTCTTGTCTGTGTTTTTTGACCAGACTCATATGATGTGATAATCTGAGTTAAAAATTCACATTAAGAACTTTTTTTTGTTGTTGTTTTTATCTGTAGACTCCAGAGTCATGGGTGGAGAAGTCCAGGAGCAGCCGAGCTAGCGGCAGCCACAGACGCTCGGCATCGTGGGGCAGCGCTGAGCATCTCCGAGAGGTCAGTTTCAGCTTTTCGTCCTCAGCAGGTTCATAACTCTGGATTCAAGTGGCCAAGCTCATTAAAAAACAAACTTTTCTGAGCAGTGATCTCATTTGCTGCTCGGAAACTTCCTGTTTTCTCACCTACGTGCTCATGAAAATCTGGTTACAGCATATCTCAGCTGTTATCTGCAAATTAGTATTTTTTTTTTTTTAACATGCATGACTAAAGCTATTAATGCCGACGTATGCACAAATGTGATTGGCTGTAACCTGTGTTATTTTGCAGATTGCCAAACTGAAACAACAACTGCAGCAGGGCAGCAAGCCTGCAGCCTCTGGGGTGAATGACAAAGATCGTCAGTGCTGTTATCCTCATGGGAGCTGTAGCCTAGGAGCAACTCAGGTACTTTACCACCATCATCAAACAAACACAGGGTCCCATTGGGACTTCATAGTCTTCTACTACGACTGCCTGTGTCCAGTTTCTGAATTTATACGTCAAGTGTGCAACTATTTACAGGAAGTGACTGAATTAAAATACTGAAGCAACAGGAAGATCACTTCATCACATGTGCTTCTTCTTAGGAAGAAAGGCATAGTTCTGCTTTTGAGCACAGCTGGTCATTTTGTTGTATTTGGTAGTTGCTTGATTTGGTTTTTGAGGCTTGTGGCCACAATTGTTTTAAAATAACTTCAATTTGTAGTTTTTACTGTCTGTTTTAGAGCAACAAAGGCAGGCATTCATAACAGACTTTCATAACAACAATTAGTAAATTAAAGCATAGCGTTTAGTTTCTGATGCAACAAGTGTTGTTTCTTTAAATTCTGTCTGCTTACGATGGTTTAAAACCCACAAAGAAACATCGAAATGAGCTGAATTATCAACAAGTCGTATCAAATCCGAGAGGAAACGAGCTAACATTAGCCTAGCATCTCCTGCAAATATCCTCAGTAGAGTTGGCTGCTTGTTTACTGAAGTTTTTCTAGCCGAGTCAGTTAATCCGTTACAAAAATTAAGCAACAGGTTTTATTTAAGGGAAGTGTAACTGGAGCACAACAACTTTCTCAAACCCAGTTTTCTGGGTTTTTAAAATTTGTCATTCCTACTCCCTTTCAAAGTTTTGCAATATATATGTGCAGCAGCGCCCATTGCAAATCAGTTTTTCAGTTTTTTTTCACATCTGTTGAGTATACTGTTACCAAGCACTCAATAACGAGAAGCTGGGATTGTGGAACCAAAGGGGCGTGGCTTAGAAATCCATAAAATATCACAATCATTCTGCAACCCCTTCTCACTCCTTCTATTCTAATCTATATTTTTTTTAGTGTAAATCATGAAATTTTATTTGCACTGAAGAAATTAGCTTAATTACATGAAAAGCTAGTAAGCTAATCGTTGCTATAAGCAAAATTTCTGATAAAATTGAACAATTTCCTAGAGTTTAATACCAGATATTGGGTATATGCATTAAGTTTTTCTTTTTCTGAACTTTTGACTTTATTAGATTTTAGTGTGAGACCTTTCATTTTCCCTTTCTGAAAGATGAAAGAATGAATATTTTTGACCAGCAACATTAGCTGGTGTTCTGGATGCTTCAGTCGTTTACAATGTTGTGAAGGAATTTTGTCCCATTCTTCTTTACAACTCTGCTACCTTTCAGTTCCTTGCAGCAGAAAGACAGGGGTTCATTGATGATCCAGTTCTGGTCCAAATTTGCAGACAGAAAGTTGCAGCAGGGTTAGTTTAGTTTGTAGTAAATATTTTTATAAATTCTAGATATGAGTAGAAGTTAAAATACTCTCATATATTCAAATGTTTACATTTTCTTAAAATGCTACAATACTCCCTTTTCTCCCCCCCTTTTTTTTGTTCACAATTCCTGTTTAGTTGATTCTTCTAGAATATAAATTATTAGGGCTGTGCAATTTTATCAATTCTACAATATTTATTTTTTCCTCAAAGTATCAATTTTTCATCTGCGAGTATCAAAATGTTGAATGCTAATTTGAGTTTTTGAGTAAAATCCACATTAATCCACAAATTAAATAGATAAGTTGCATTATAATGTAAGTGAATAAGACAAAAAAGGTTATTTTTCTACATAACCAAATACACAAAGCAACACAATTAACAGTTTGTGTGTTTCTAGTGCAAATATTTTAGCACACTATAAACAAAACTAACTTGCACACAAGTCACATTTTAATGATGTACAGGTTATATAGACTTTAGGTAGGTAATTGCTTAATAATTATGAAAAAGTACTAGTTAAATTGGCACAATATTTTACTAATAAAAAAGCAAAACCATGTTATAAGTAAAATAATCTGCCAGTGGAATAAGTGCTTTTTTCCCAATTTTATTTACTTAGAAAAAGCTCCTATTTCTTGCTGAAAAGTTACTTGTAAGTTTTGTTGTTTTATTTCAAGTGTACTAAGGTCTTTGAACTAGAGACTAGAAAATACTGTACTTACTGCTAAAGTGTTTTCTGCAGTGATTAGATTATGTGAAAGACTTTCAGACCTGTTTGAAAAAAGATTTCACCAAAATGGGCGGAGCTAGGCGACTAGGGGCGGGGCTAAGAGATTTGAGGGCGGAGCTAAGACTAGGGGGCGGAGCCAGGTCTGCAGACAAACTGAAACATTTCATTGTGATTGACTTGACAATTGTTTGCTGTGTTTTATAACTTTGTATAAAGTTATGAAATTTTACAAAGTTTTTTTGTGTTTTTATGGTGTAACGCACTTTGAACTGCCTTGTTGCTGAAATGTTTTACAAATAAACTTGACTGATGGATTTATATCAAATACCTGAACTGGTAATTTGTGTGGTTGTTGAACTGCCTTCCAAGTGTTTTGAACTAAAAGTGAAGTGGAAGGTGTTTGTGTCCTCAGACCCAGCCGGTTCCCATCCCCCTCTCGCCTCTGTCTACTCTGGTTCCCCGCCTGCGCTGCAGCGTGGAGGGCCTCAACCAGGAGCTGGAGGGCATGTTCATCAGCCAGTCTCCTCCCTCACAGCACAGGGTAGGTGTCTCTCACGTCTTCTGTCTTCAGAAAATCGCTGTGATCCCTGATGTATTTTGTTCTCCTTCTCGTCAGCTGCTTGAAGTTCCAGACGGTCATCGCGCTCCGGTGCCTCTGCACAGCTGCAGTAGCAGTACGCAGAGCGACCGCACCACCACACCCCTCTCCTCCTCCTCCAACTGCTCCTCCCCCTGCGCCTCACCTCCGTCTAACACTCTAGAGCCTCTGGACCCTCACCAAGGCGAGTATATAAAGTTTATTATGCAAAATAAATTCATATTTTGGAGGTTTTTGTACTTGCATTTGGCTTCTAAAATCAACCCAAACGCTTCAAAATAAGTTAATGTTTTTTTTGGTGTCTGGAAAACGAGCCATTTCAAAAACCTCAACTCTCATTCAACGCTCACTGAGCCTGTGAGTCACAAATTTTACTGGACAATAAATTGACCAAAAAGTTATCGCGATACAATATTGTTGTTTTGAGAACATTTTCAAGTTATATAGTGGCAAAATAAATCAATATATTCCCAAAGATCAATGAACTTTAAATTGTTATGAACATTTAACACTTGAAATGGAAAACATTTTAAAATAAATAAAACAACAAATAAGTTGTATTTAGAAATATCTTCAAACAAAAAAAGGGAAAATTGAGTCAAAACCACCAAACTGAAGACTTTTGTCATGCAGTTTGTGGAAGAAAAAAATGATGCCTTTTAACTTGTTATGCAATTTAGTCACATTTCGTCATCTGGTTTTACCCCTGTACATGTTGTACAATGACTGCTGGAAAAGACAAGTGTTTTGTTGTTGACTTGTCGTCCAGAAACTACTTGCTGTATTCTTGTTGGTTGTGCAGGAGGCTCCACTTGTGCAGGAGGCTCCACTTCTGCTTTTCAAAGATGTACGGTTGTACAATTACGAATCTGTTTGCAGCCATTTTCAAATGTAAATGTGGCCAGAAGCAGATTGATTGGATTTAAAGTGACAGAGCCCTAAAACAGCTCATTCACTGATCAGACTAAATTCTTGTTATCTAAGAATGATTTTGACCAAAAAAATATGATGGAACTGTTTTGTGTAAACTCGTCCTAATGTGTTGAAGGAAGAGTAATATGTTTCCTTTAATAAAGCAGCAAACAAATACGTTATTTGCATTTTTTTCCCTTTTTGTTTCAGGCACAGTAGAGAAGTGTCCGCTGTCTCCAGTGTCCTCCCAAAACGAGGCCGAGCTCCACCAGCCGCCACAAATCTCCTCCTCTCCAGGACTCAACAAAAGCTTCTGCTTCCAGCGAGAACCTCCGGAGGGCTGCGAGAAGGTCCGAGTCTGGGAGGAGTTCAGGTACCGTTGTGCTGCTGCAGGGACGTCCAGATAATCTCAGCTTCAGGCAACACCAAGATCACAAATGAATTGATAAAACCACCTGTTAACAAAATGTTTGTAGAAATAAATATCTTTAACGTTGTTTGTTTGGCAGTTATTCAGATTAAAAGTCTTGGTTTGACTGATAAAATGATACACAAATTTACTCAAAAGTAAGAGTAGTAGTGATACTTCGAAGTATCTGAAGTAAAAAGTATTTGATAAAAAGTCTACTCAAATACTGAGTAACTAATCAAATGATCACTCATGTAATATTTAAAAATTACACAATAATATAAAGTTAAGTGGAAATTGAGGTATTTTAAGGACAAAAATTACAATAATTCATATAAATAACTTTAAATAACAGGCAAAAGAGATTTTTTGCAAATCAGTTTTATTTCAATATAAATTTATGAAATTTTAACAGAAGCTGCAGGTGTGTGTCTGTGTTTTTGGTTACAAATTGTTTGTTTTTCATCCAGTGGGTAGAAAATACAGAAATTTTACCCGAGTAAGAGTAGAAATACTTTATAATAAAGTCACTCAAGTAAATGTAACTGAGTAAATGTAACTAGTTACCACCCCGCTCTGGTGTGAACTAAAATTAGTATTTTAGTTCAGTTGTTTAGTTAGCAATGATGACCTCAATCCAAATCCTGTCCTGATCTCTCCTGCAGTATCCCACACCACCACAAGGAGGCCCCGGTCTCCTCCTGCCCCGACCCCAACAAGGTGAACTTCACGCCCCACGGCGGCTCGGCCTTCTGCCCCGTCAGCCTGCTGAAGCCCCTGTTCCCCTCCATGGACCTGCTGATCCGCAGCCTCACAGTCTCTCCCGTCGGGAACTGCTCCGGCCCGGGAACGCCGGCCACCGGGAACCGCGGCGCCTCCCCGGATCCGGCCGCCGCCTCCGCCGTGCTGGGAGACGCATCGGGAGAGGCGCTCGCCTTCTGATCACAGCTGCAGCTCTTTTCTGTGAAAATGATGATGCAAATGTTGGCCTGCACCAGGACAGGTGTGATCTTCTTTAGATATGAAATAACCTGATTTCTGAATGACTCTGGCGGAGGGGCAGATAAATGACATGTAAACACCCCTGGTGAAATCGTAGGTATTTTCCCTGACAAATCAATTCTTTCCACCTTTTATTGTGACTTCTTGTCTTAGTCCATTGCACTTTCAGTTGAATTTAGCTCTAATTTTAATCCAAATTTATTGGTTTGTGTTTGTAGATGTACATTTAAACCCCGAATTATTCATATTTCCTGACATATTTGGATTTTAAGTCTCACCTTAAACCAAAACGCTATTTCTCAACATGATAAAACTCTGAAATGAGTTTTGTATTAAAAAGATATCTGGCCAGAGAATGCCGTCCACCGGGAACCGATTATTATCCTTCTTAATAATCGGTTTGTGAGTCTCATTTCCCTCCAGCTGAGCTTCAAAAACATTCATCTTACATCCACATCCCAGTAAAATTAAGATAACAATTCAATACAATAATTTTGTGCTTAACTGCATGTTTGGACTTCTAATTTTTATTTTCTAGCAGAAATCTTGAAGGTTTTGCGTAAAAATTCAGGAAAGTTCTCAGAAATCTATCCACCATTTGCAAAAACGGAAACCAAACCCACAGCATAATGATGCCACCACCATGTTTATCTCTTTAGGGAATTCTCTCTTGAGTCCCTTCTTCTTAGTCTAGATGTATGGATAATAGAATATATCGTCTGTTATAGAATCAGTGCTGCTGTTGCCTTCCTAACGTTTTGTTTCATTCTTGGTTTGGCTGAATTGTTTCTGGATACATTTCTCATGGTGAAATGCTATGGAAAATAATGCTGAGGAATTTTATTTGTAGCCTTCTTATGACTGGTACCTTTAAACAATGAGGCTTTTCTGACTTTAGCTACCAGATTCATTGGAAAGAAGTTAGAAAATCAAATCAAAACAAGGGGTTATTGCTGCTTTTCCCCCCAGAATCTTTTCCCTTTAACGGATCAGTTCAGAATATGTCACACTGAAAGTGGAAAGTTTTGGTTATTGATCAGGATTTCCTTTAAAATCAACATTTTACCAGGGGTATGAACACTTCTGAGCTGCGTCGAAACCCAAAGGAAAGACTTTATAAGCTACAATTTGCTTCCAGGAACTGAAAACATTTAAATTGGGGTCAATCAGTTTAATTTTCCAAAGAAATTTATGGCCAAAAAAAATATACATACAACAGAGCTTTGACTTTACTGACTTCACTTCCTGCCTAGATCCTCCTCCTTTTTTATGTTTGTCCAAAATATCAGGAGTGTAGGTCTTCTGAGAACGCTCACCTATTATTAAAATGAGTTTTCTTGCTTTTTCTTTAGGTATTCAAATATATTTATGTGTAACTGGATGTTGCTAGTGCATGACAAATCAGCTGGTAATCTTTGCTTGACTCAAGAGAAGACAATGAAATCACTTTTTTTGTTTTATTCTACTGGACTGAAGGGAAATTTCCGTTTGTTGGAGTCGAGTAGCATTTATACCCAAGAGCTTCAGCTTCCTGCTTTAAGGTAGTTTGTTGTTTTTGTATAAAAATGTACGAGTTAGTAGTTAAAGATGTTGTTTTTCGATGTTGGTGTATCAAGAATGCTCCAGATGGGCGTTTTTGACACTATGTTGATAGTTTTGAGGTTTCACGGCCTAGTTGACTACCTAACCAGTTTTAGTAGTATAGATGTGTCGCCTCTAATGTTTGCTTTGACATGTTTTCGTTCTGCCAAGCTGACAAGTCGATCAACTAGTTTTATTTCCGGTAGACACGTTTGCACAGATTGAACTGCTACCTTCGAGTTGCAATTTTTTGTCTTTTTTGTTTTTGTTTTTTTACATTCATACCTTTTGTACTTCTTAAAAGTAGTAAAGTGTATTTTGTACGTCTATCAGTTACCTGCAGCATAAGCTAAAAGGAGCTAGTTTTGTTGATGTTCATTTGTGGCAGGTTTTTCATCATCGGTGGAGTTTTATGCACTTCCAGGAGAGGATGTTTGGTTTTTTTCCCCCACTTTTTACACATTTCTGGGTGAAAAGTCTGACAGATTCGTGTGTGTGTGTGTGTGTGTGTGTGTGTGTGTGTGTGTTGTGTGTGTGTGTGTGTGTGTGTGTGTGTGTGTGTGTGTGAGAACATGGTGATGGAGACTTGATCGATCTTTTGACTAACTTGTAGTTTTTTTTGTTATTAAAAATACAGAATAGATTTGTTCTCTTCCCATTTGAAAATGCTTCCTTTCTGTTTGGATGTTGGGAATTTGCTGTTTTCTCAGGTTCTGTGTTCTGTTCACATAAATATAGTGTGACGATAAACTCTGGTTTCTGTCATTTCTCCACTTCGTTCAAACTTTTTACCACATCCATAAAAAAATCAACCTAGAATCAATAAAATAGTTTGTTTTTTTTTCAGTTTTTCAAATTGGTTATTTATCGTCGTTCCAAAAGTTTGGAGGGCTTTGCGACGTAAATAAAATAAAAATAATAAAGCAAAAGGCCGAGTAAATTTCTGCCAAAAACTACAGAAGTTCAGTGATTATTCAGAAATTTTCTAGAAAAAAACTTTCAAAAGTCAAAGCATTTCCAACATTTGAAAAAACTAGTAGATTAATTTCTAAATTTCAGATTTTTTGGGCAGAAGTTTACGACTCGCTACTTTTTCTGTTTTTCTTTCTCTACGATTACATGATTGTAGATTTTGTACATTTGTTGTATTTAAAGAAAGTGTTATAGTTTGGACTGTTTTTGTCTTGACTGAATGACTATTTTCAGTAATAAGTATTTAGGTCATGTTCTCTAAAAACTATTAAGCAAAGTTTAATAAAGAAGCTAATTGTTTTTTTCAGAAATAGTCTCTGGATAAATGTAATTTAGCATTTTCTTTTAAAGCTTGGTCATAAAAAAATGAATGTTAGAAAATGATGTTTGAAATTATTTAACCCTTATTAAAATCTCGTATCACTTTTGAATTGCAGTTTGAGGGGGCCGCACAAAATCAGTCCAAGGGCCACAAAAGGCCCCTGGACCACACTTTGGACACCCCTGACTTGGTCTCTTCTGTGCTGATGTAAAATGAAAATTAGTTACTATAATTTCTGCCTTTCATGTTGACTCCAAAGTTTGCAGATCTGAGCCAACGCAAACGCCAACTCCGACTCTTTAGCGCCCTCTGCTGGTGCGGGCGTTTAAATTCACACACAAAAAAAAAAGTAATCAATTTTGCTGAGTGAAGCCATTTTGGTTTTTATCACCATAATTTAAAAAATGATAAAGATTTCCCCCCTGCTGGTCCCAATTATTGTTTTTATTTATATACTTTTACAATATTTCAATTAATGTAGAAAAATATTTTTTGGAGCACAAAGAAACATTAAAACTATTTTGTTTTGGGTTAATTTGGTTCTGAAAGAGTTTCGACCTGCTTTTAAGGGTTTGTTACATTTTTAAAATGAGAGTTTTTGTTCGAGTTAATTGTACAAATATCTCTGTACATCTGAAATAAGATAAAACTAACTTTCAGCAAGACATAAGAGTTTGATATCAGTCAATAATTCCTTTTCATTGATAAAAAAGTTCTAGTTCTACAGGCATAAAAACATTTTTAGTTACCTGTAAGTTGGTTTCGTCTCATCAAAACTAGAAATTAGAACAAAACTTGGTGGAATTTGTGGATTTTTTTTTTTTTTTTTTTTTTTTTGCTTTTGTTTTTTTGGAGTGTAAAACAAATATTTGATACCATTTTAGTTTGATTTACAGAATCTCTATAGCAATTCTCTGAGCTGTTTTCCTTCTAAATACGAGTGAAAATGTTTCCTTCTAGTTGTGTTTGTGAACAAAATGTTAAACATCACCCTGACTTTACTGAGTGTAAAGCATCATATAGATCATAGAAATCAGACTGTTGTACAAGAACAATAAATTGTTTTTTGTTGTTTTTTTTATCCAAGTGTATGAATGGAAAGTTGAGTGGAAGGAAAAAGGTCAGGTTAAACAAACATAAGGGAGAATTCTGATGGAGTTTTGGCTCAGTTCTTTGTTGATTTAAAAATGTAAAACCAAAGTATCTTTCACTGAGTTGCATCAAAGTTGTGGGGAAAGTGTGATGGTAAAGGCGGTGACGGGCGGCAGCAGGTGATTTTTCTTTAAGGGGTCCGCAGCCTGGCGGTGTGACTGGGGTCCGCGTACGGGGCTGGGATTGGCTGGCAGCAGGCGGGAGGTGGGTGTTGAGCTCGGCTGCGCGCCTCCAGGCCTGCAGAAAGCAGATCCGCTGCAGCTCTGCCTGCCTGTCTGTCCGCAGATTCCTATAAACCCAACAGACTCTGGTTGTTGTTGCTGGAAAGACCCTCCGCCATGTCCATGTTCTCGGTGGTCCGGAAGCAGGTCAAGAGTCACCCCTCTGTAAGTCTCAAATGCAGTAATTTATTTTTTTTTTTCTGTGCTTATTATCCTTATTTGACATTGAAACGTGCACGCTGAGGGGAGGCGCGCTCCCGATTCCTGAAATATTCCGTAAATTACAAACAAAAGGGCGATCACTTCTTAAATACTGTTAAAAAAATAAAAATATATCCACATTATTGGGATCTGATCGCAAATGTTTGGGAGATTTTTCCTCCCAATAACCTTAAATCCCAAAATCTGACTTAAATGGCTAATTTATAAATATATATATATATAAACCACCAAGAAATGAACAGAATGGATGATTAAAACATGAACGCAACCAATTTGGGTTCATTTCTTTAGTAAAAACAAATGAATTGCTCAGATTTTCCCTTTCACCTGCGGGGATTTGGTGCACTTTACACTCAGGAGCCACAGCAGCCGCATTTCCTCCCCAGATCCCAGAGAAAAGATCCAGATGAGGGATTAACACCGCAGCCATGCGCGCTGGTCGCCAAAGCGCGTCAGGCATCCATACAGGCCTGACTGAAGTCTATTTTTCCAAGGACGACGGGGTGAAACAGTCTGCTTTACGGCAGAGACCATATAAATAGACCAGAGATATGTTAATGTCCTCTGCTGGTCGGTGACTCATTCACTCATTTCCCAGTTTGTTTTTTTGTCGATTATCGCACCAAACCTGGAAATAAAATTTCAGCGACTTCAGAAGAATAAATTCATGGATAAATGTTTCCAAAGCCCTCATCCCATCCACTTCCACTGATTCTTATATCTTGTTGTCATGAACCTTTTGATGTACTTTCAATATTTTATCTTTTTGGATTTACTGCAGTGAATTAACCCAAAAATAAAACCCATCCCTCAATTTGCATAACTGAGGTAAAAAGCGATGTTAGCTGCGTTTCGGTTGATCTTAAAATTAGCTTTTTTTAACGCTAATTTAGAAATGAGCGTTTTTAAAAACGCTAATTTAGAGAAAGTGGATGTTTTTTTATAATATATATATATATACATAAAAAAGAGGTGGTTTTCAGTCTGAATCAAAAGTCATGTGATCGACAACCGGATGTTGCTACTGGCGGAAATGACGAAGACTACAGGAAGTGGGAGGAGGATGACTGCCGAGCATATTTTAAAATGACTTATAGCTTGAACAAACTTATTTTAACTGTATTATTTATTTAATAGAAACACTGAAGTTTCAAAATTGTGGGGGTTTTTTAACGTTAGCGAAATATCAGCAAAGCTTTGTGCAGATTCGTAATAGAAACAGCTTATGACAGGAGAACAACAACATACTTTCTGAGGTGTCTGAGAAGAAACAAAACAGCTTCCCTACACACCTGTAACTACAATACACAGTATGAAGACAAAAGTAAAGTGTCATTGTGTTAGTAGCATAAGCTAAGCTGAATATTTACAAGGCTCCTCTCCATAGACTGAAATAACTGTCATCAATTCTGTCATCCAACAGGATTCAAATATAATAAAGTAAAGGCATTGACACTCATGCATTCTTCATTGGATAGTTTTTCCGCCATCATTTGGCGCCCTCTTTAGCACAGCACCCATATGCTTTGCATACAGTGCATAACTTCTTTTTTGTTGTTTTTGACAGAGCAGAAATCACTTACATTCACAATTTATCTGTACTAAAAATAAAAGTTTGCCTTTTTTCCCCAGAGAAAGCATCTGGGGGTGGATAAAACACTGTAAAAACATTGGATGAAACCAAACATAGATTTTGGGCTGAAATTGGCATTGGCAGCGTTGGGTTGCCGGTTTGAATCCCTGATCCGTTCAGCCTCAGTTTCTGTGTAAATGTATAAATTACTAAATGTCGATTAAAGCGCTTTCAAGTCCTCTGACTTGGTAAAGCATTATCCAAGTAAAAGACATTTACCATTTCTTCAGTTTTACAGTAAAACATGGTGGGGGTGGTATTATGGTCTGGGATTTTCAATGCTTTTTTTAGTTTAATATTACACGATGTGTGTAAAATTAAAGGTGGAAAACATAATACCCCCCCCCATTGTTTTCACATAAAAACTGTATATGTGAAATAACTTCTGTTTATGTTATTATCTGTTATTCAATGTAATAAAGCTTTATTATCTTATTATCTGCTTATGTTTTAACACAATAATTGCTGGATTTCTACAGCTGATCCCCCTCTTCATCTTCATCGGTGGTGGAGCGACGATGAGCATGTTGTACTTGGCCAGACTGGCTCTGAAGAATCCCGATGTCTCGTAAGTTTCTCTGCACTGCAAAAACTTGCCAAGAATATTTAGTCTAGTTTCTTATGCAAATATCCTAGTACACTTGAAATAAGACAGAATTAATTTTCAAATATCTTTTCAGCAATTCCCTAAAGTTCATAAAAAAGTCCTAGTCAAAGTTTAAAAACAACATAGTATCAACTGGATGGCCAATCTTATATTGTTTGTTTTTGACTTAGTTTTTAAATAGTTGAGTCTGTTTATTTGTATTTTAATATTGTTTGTGTGTTTTGAGGTATTTTGATGTCTTTTTGTGATTTTATTGGAATGTTTTTCTGTGAACCCCAGGAAGGATTCTCTTTACGCTGCAAATGTACAGATTTCTGGTTTCTTGTATAATTATCTTAGTATTCTTGAAATAAAACAAAACAAACTTACAAATGACTTTTCCACAATATCTAGAAACTTGTTTAAGTAAATAATTCTATAAAATTGATGAAAATAATTTGTTCTATTCACAGATTATTTCAATGATTAGACATTTTTAGCAGGTTATAAGTACAACTAGCACTTTTCATTAATATCAATAAATTATCAATGTAAAACAAGCTCTGAAAAGTCACATGTAAGTTAGTTTTGTCTTACTTCAAGTGTACAAAAAATATTTTTTCCCAAGTTATTAGTTGGAGTATTTGCCACTAGAAGTTTTTCATTAATATTAAATAATTATTTACTCAAAACAAGTTCCTACGTCTTGCTGAAAAGTTACTTGTAAGTTAGTTTTGTCTTATTTCAAGACACTAAACAAAAATACTTGGTAAGATTTTGTGTTTTTGCAGTGTAGCACAATATATAGTGTGATTTTAAGATTTTTTTTGTTTTGTAATAAATCATCTGATACAATCTGTCGTCTCCAGGTGGGATCGCTCAAACAACCCAGAGCCCTGGAACAAGCTGGAGCCCAATCAGCAGTACAAAGTAAGACATTCAAATAAAACACGCGCTAGTTAATAGTTGTTATTTCTTCATATCGGGTCAAAGCACAACTTGTGTTCTTATCATGCGTCAAAGTCCATATTTCCTTCCTCACCCTGACTGTGTCCTTTCACGTCTCTTTTTCTCACTCTTCCAGTTTTTCACTGTCAACATGGATTACTCCAAACTGAAGAAGGACCGGCCAGATTTCTAGGTCCTTTCACGACCGGGGTGCCGAGCTTATGCACTTTTTTGTTTTGCCAAAGTTCAAGTTGAGTGTTGGTCATTTAACAGTTGATTATCAGCAGGAAAGGGATCATAAACATATACAAGTTTGAATGAAAGCAGGCGACCACCTGTTTTCTACTGAGAAATTCTGTTTTTTTTTCTTTTACGTGTTGTAAATTATTAAAGCAATTAAAATGATTAATCTCATTAGTATGTTTTTTTTTTTTTACATAATCAGAGGTTTTATTATCACAGCTGGAGTCGAGGCGATTGTTCAAACTTTTTCTTGAATCCTCAATTTAAGTTTAGTTTTTCTCCTGGAGAAAATGTCACGGTTAGTTTGTTTTGCGTTTTACTGTAAATAATTGTCTAATCAAGATTAAAAATAAATTATTTCCCAAAGCGAGTTTATTTGAAAACATGCCTCTGGTGACATCACAAAAAGCAACGGATCAGAGATATTTAGTCTTCTTCTTGTTTATTGTTTACTTGCATCCTTTTTAAAAAAAATAATTTCTTCCTTCAAATCTGTTAAATTGCATTTGCTTCAGAAAAAGCTTTTACCTATATCTGCATATATTTTAGTAGAACACATAGAATTGAATAGATTTTGTCATTAAAAATTCCCATCGAGCCATTAAAGGCTAACAGTATTGACATCACTCGGTTTTTACTTAACATGAAGGTTGATTATTTAACCATGGAGCTGTTTCTTCTCCAAGTTAAAATGTCACTGCCTCTGCTCTTACACTAATATTTACATTTCAGCAGTGAGCTGCACTAAAGCATTGCCACCCTAGTGGAAGCTGTGACTTTTAAAGCAAACTTTGACCTGTCAGAAGCAGAGGGTTTCTATTACTAGTATAAAACATTATCAGTAGTAAGCAGAAGCCTGAACCCGCCTGGAAGACGTACAGGAGTTGGGAAATATCACTTGAAAGTGGAGCAAGGAGAAACTGGAAGTGAAGCAAGATGTGACTCTGTTATACGAAAAAACAAACTGTGAGACAGAAGTTCATCTCCTATCGATGGGAAAATGCATGAAAATGTCCCTCTACTGAAAAACAGCAGGGTTGCAAAGAAAGAAAGACAGAAAAAAACTGCAGTTCTTGAGCTCAACTAGAGCCTTGGCTCTTTTGTCATATCAACAAAATGTATTTGCAAATACCCTGAGAATTATCTTGTCATTGTACATTGTATATATATTTTTTTCTTACATATTTTTTTTATTTTTAAATTATATTTTACATGAGAAATTGCCACAATAACTATGAATAGTGCAATACTAATATAATTAATACATTAAATTACATTGAACAGTATGTTGTACTTCTGATAGCTCATTTTAATGAGGAAGAATTGAAAAGTGCAGTCACATTAGAATATATTTCTGCCATGACGAGGGAAAAACAAAAACATTTTTCATTTGAGTTTACAGCCACTAGATGGCAGCAACACACCAGTCAAAGCACGCCACGTTGAAGAAGAAACCAGGTAAAACTTTCTTATCGCGAGACTTCATTCAAATATATCGCGGGACGGTTGGTAAAAACATTCTTGTTGAACCAGAAAACAGTTACAGCTTAGCGCATACGAATGTCATGGTCATTTAGAGTCGAGTGACAGTAATTTATGTTTTTTTGTCTCTCTTTGGTGGGTAAAAGTTCGCGCTGTTGTGATAGTTTGTCTGTGGCTTCAGCTTGTTGTCAGACGGAGTTCCTCTGAGGTTTGTTAGCTGGTTTTTAGTTTGGCAGGCTAATGGATTCCACGGAGGATTTGACCCCTCGAAACCTCCTCAAGCAAATTCTGATCACCGAGCCGCCCAAGACTCCTGTCGGCAACAGGTACTGTCTTCTCTTTCAGTGAGAAATAAGTGTTTGTTTTTTTAAGCAAAGTTTAAAAGTATAAATAACAAACCTCGTCACAACACCCTGCTTTCTAAACATATGACCACTATTATTGGCATTCCTACTATTGTTACTACAGTATATCCTTTTATTTGTTCTTTGTTCCTGTGTTTATTTGGACAATTATCTTTGCTAATTACCCTGCTGTTACCACCCATTTTCACTTCTCTGTAATAAACCCTTTTGGTATTTTACAGAGTCTTTAAATTTAAGAGGCACTATAGACTTGATCACAGTATTTTCTCATTTGTTGATAAAAGTCTGACAACAATGCACAACTGGATAGGAACTAGCTTTAAGTGAAAACAAAATGCACATTTACTGGATTGTGGAGAAATTGTCCCAGAAAGTTGTTTTGAGACAATTTTCAAGTACTATTATGGAAATGTCGTAATAATACAAGCACACATTCTCAAAAAATCAGTCAACGTTAAATTCTAATCAATTTTAGGAATCCAAAATAAACAAAACAGAAACGGCAATTAAAATAAATTATAAAATGTCTGTAAACAAAATTATCCTTCAAAAAATGGCGAGACCAAAGCAACAGACTGAAGACTTTTGTCTTTCTGGTCTTGGGAGAAAAACAGAAAAGAAAAAAAAAATTACAAATAGAATTATTGAGTTTGTTTTAAATTATTATGTGGTTAATTGCTTATTGTGACAGACATGTTTAACGTGTTACACGTTGCTGAAATTTGCTAAATGTTTTTTTTTTTTGTAGCCATATTTTTTGTAGCCTGTTATTTCTTTATAAGTAAAGAAATAACAGAAATAGATGCATTAGTTGTGTTAATAAATAGGAAGTCGCTTAAATTTAAGAATTTAAAGGTGCCAAAAAAAAAGCCTAGGAATTTTGATTGAAAACTGATAATTTACTTCTTCTCTGTCTGCATGTCAGGGAGCCCCATGCAGCAGGTGGCAGCGAGCCGCGGCGCAGCAGCAGGCGCAGCAGGAGAGATGCTGAACCACAAACTCCACAAAACATCCTGCGACGCAGCCTGAGGAACAAAATCCAGGAGGCGAGAAGAACACAAACAACTCAACTGTGTAAGGAGTTGTCAGTTTAAACATCTAAATCTGACTGTGTTTTGGTTTTCAGAATATAACCAGGAAATCCCTGCCTCTCAAGCGACGAACCACCTCTGCTGTGCTCAGACAGCAAACTCTGTCCTCCACCATGATGTTTGATGACGGAGAAACTCCCAGGCATTTACTCCGGAACATCCTGCAGACAGGTGGGTGGATTTATCCTCCCTTCTAGTTCTCAGTGAGGCTGATGTTTTTGTTTTTCTCTTTACATCCATGCTGTTTGGTTCTGCTTTTCAGAGCCTGTGAAGTCCCCAGTGGTTCATGACAAAGTCGCCCCTGCAGAGCTGCAACCTCCTTCAGAAGACAATACAGTTACAAGAAGTCGGTCTAGGTGTGTTTAAGGCGACTGTTTGGTGTAAAATCTAATTCTTTTCTGTTTCTCAGCGCCTTTATGTTGACTCTTTGTACATTATGTGTTTATTTTGTGTCCAGTATTGAGCTGTCGGGTCTGGATCTGCCGGATGTGACGATGGGGAACATTGCGAGCGCCGCTAAGGGCCTGAGCAGAAAGAGACCGCGTCAGAGCCTCAACGTCACCGCTTTTGAAAAACGACTTAAAGGTGAAAACGATACAGTTGAACTTTCTTTCTTTATTTTTCTGTGAAAGATTGTAAACATTTTTACTCATGACCCAGTGGTGATACAGACTCTAGAGTTAACAGAGTTGTTATATTTATGTGTTTTGGGGATTTTTATGCTTACAGGAGCTGAAGAAGAACCAGAAAATTCAATTGGTGATCATTCATCGCTTTCCCTGTCAAGGTAAAGTTTTATAAAAAACCTTCCAAGTGAAATAATTGTATTTATTTAGTATGAAATGATTTGCATGTTCATTCTGTCACTCAGCTCCTCCTCCCTGAGTCTGAAAACCCCATTTGTTGATGTTCACACTGAGAAGAGAGGCCTTCAGAGACGAGTTTCGAACCGCAGAAAGATCACAGAGGAAGAGTTTAGTGCTGCCCTCAGCAAGCAGCAGATGGGAGGTGATTCTGTCTTTTCACTGTTCATTTCATTTTACTGATTCTTTACAGCAAAAGTGTCGAAACTTGAGGCCCGGGAGCCAAATCTTGTCCGCTTTTAATGTAGTTCTCTAGACTCCAATAAGTTCCTCCAGATTTTCACAAATCTGCAAAATTCACATAAAATCATCAAATCTCTACTTTTTTTCTTATTTTACAGCAAATCTTTACTGTCAATAATTGGATCGGGACCGATACAGATGTTATCAAATCGGTGCATCTCTAGTTTTAACACAAGAACTTTCCTTTTTGTTTCGGCTCTTTTTCTCTGCATTGTGTTCCAGACGTGAGCAGTGACGCGCTTCAGGGGCGAGAGGTCGGCAGCGAAGACACAAACTTGGCGGGAATTACGTTGGGCCTGAGCAAACTGAGCGAGCCCGACGTCACGGTCGACATTGTGAACTGCCAGACGGCTCTGTACGACCAGCATGACGCCATGACCTCCAACTTCTCCATCACTGCCACTCAGGATAAACCCACCGTCATGGCGACTCAGCACCAGAGAGACATACAGGAGGAAGAGAGACAGAAATCAGCTGAAGAAGAAGAAGCTGTGACAAAAATGGAGGAAAATGAAGGCATGGAAAATGTTGATAAAACACAAGACGTTTCATCAAAACCTGAGGAAAAGGACAATGCGGTTGGATTCCAGACTTTTGATCTGGATGATGGAGCTGAGGCTGCAACCGATTCTCAGTCTGAAGACGTCAAAGGAGGATCTGAGGAAGAGGAGGCTGCAGCTGAGGAGGAACAAGGTGTGGAGCAATCTGTAACTGAGGAAGAAGCTGCAGCCGATTCTCAGTCTGAAGAAGAGGCTGCAGTGAGCTCCTCAGCTGAGGATGAAGGTGAGGAGCAATCCCCAACTGAGGAAGAAGCTGCAGCCGATTCTCAGCCTGAAGAAGAGGCTGCAGTGAGCTCCTCAGCTGAGGATGAAGGTGAGGAGCAATCCCCAAATGAGGTAGAAACTGCAGCCAATTCTCAGTCTGAAGATGTCGAAGGACACTCTGAGGAAGAGGTTGCTGCAGCTGAGGAGGAAGAAGGTGTGGAGCAATCACCAACTGAGGAAGACGCTGCAGCAGCTTCTCCGTCTGAGGAAGAGGAGGCTGCGGCCGGCTCCCAACCCGAGGATGAAGGTGGATCAGTAGTAGGAGTTAATCAACTCCAACGTGACGACAAGGAAAAGGAAAAGCCGGAAGAGGGGAATGTGGAGGAAGGACGACACATCAGTCGCAGGGCTTTTCGCTCAGAGGGCGGGCTTCTTCTGCCCGTCATCACGGCAACAGAAGGTACAGCTCCTCATTTGTTGGCATCATCTGCAAACTTTACAACTTACAGTCTCACCCAAGTTGTCAATTTGTGAGTTTATCTAAAGTTGATTGATATTATCGATCAAATAATGATTAATCGATAGGCAGCCATTTTCTGAAAAACCTCCTAAATCTTTCATAATATACTTATTTTGTGTTAGCTGTATTAAATACTGACTATATTATATATATTTATAAAATATAACTAAATAGGAATCTCTTAGGTTGCTAAATAGAAAAATTAAATATGTTAAACAATAAATTCCCTATTAACAGAGATATAGTAACGCAAAGTGGTCTGTGGTTGTCGATGCAATTAATGGAGAAAAGTTTAACCTACGGCAGCCATTGGGCTACAATCTACACTTTTCTGTCTGAACTCCTCGCCTTCGTAGGACGTCGGTCAGTTTTCAAAGAGAAATTGACGCAGCTCGGCTCAATGAGGTGAAAACTAAAGATTTCTGTCACATGATTTTATTTCAAAACAACTCAAGGAGTTTGTTGCGTGTTTTTATTTCAAAGCTGACGTGTAGAAAGTGTATTTCGCATCCCGTACCAGACTCTGGACGTTACTCTTTACGGTCCCTTAAGGAAGACCAGCGGCGCCCTCTGCTGGATGGAGGTCAAACTGCAACACTAAAAGAAGGTCAAAGCAGACGTTATTAGTCAAAAGATTGGAATTAATTTTATTCTAATAAACCATTAATTAACAATTGGTCATATTGCTACATAAGTTTATAAAAACGTTTTTTAGAACATGTGCTTATGGATTTGGGTGAAAAGATGATGAAAGGAGAATCAAATGTGTTTTTCCTTTTAAAAACCAAATTCCTGCCGTTTTATTTTTACAGGTTACTCATTCATAAAGTCCAAAAGCTACAGCTCTGTGGGTTTGAACACCAGTTTGGAAAGAATTCAGAATCAAACTGGAAAACCAGGCTGGACTAAACGTTCGCTGCTACATCTGGACAAAGATTCCTGGGATGTAAACAATCCGGCGGAGAGAAAAGACGCCTCGTTCCACCTCCTCCATGTCAGCCATGATGAAGAGGTGAGCGGGCAGCAGGAGGATGTTGAGGCTGCTGCAGAGGAAGCCGGGGAACAGGAGAAAGAGTGGGACGAGGATGATAATGAAGGTGAAGGCTCGTACCCTTTAGTTTGTGTGATTCTCCATATTTAAAAAGTGATAATAATTTATATTCTTTAAAATCCAGATTTCCCAGGCAAGACGCCAGCTTTTGTCAGAGAGAAAATAAAGTTTTTTACCTCCAGCCCTCCAGTGTTGCCTTCAGTTTCTAAAAATCTCCCAGCGAGGCAAGTCGCATTTCTTTCTGCAGCGTGAAACAAGCTTTCCCCAGTGAAATAATGTGCTGAAGCCTAACGTTTCTCCTATTTACTGCTTGTTTTTTATGCTTGCAGTAGTGCAAGCCAAGCTTTACCTGCCGCTAAACTAAAGGAGGCAAGACGGCGGCGAACTGGGCTGACCAGGAGGGAGTCAGTCCTACCAAAGTCCTACCTGACACACGTTTTCAAGCACTTCGCCAAAACAAAAGTCTCCGCAGACGTCTTCCCCGTCCTAAATGAGATGTAACAGAAATTACATTTGTTTTGTTTATACAAGAAAAATCAGCAACTTCATTCTAAAAAGCCTTTTTTTTTTTTTTTTTTTAAACCGCCGTTCGTCGTTAGATTTTGATCCTGCAGAAATAACCAGTTTCACTTTTGTAATTGATCTTATCGACTTTGTGGCAGAATGGATAAGTTCTTCAACCGAGTCGCTGAGGACCTGGAGACGTACGCAGCCCACGCAAAGAGGAAAACTATCGAAGTTGAAGACGTTAAGCTTCTGTTGAGACGGTGCGTGTCAAACTCCGAGGTCTGATTAGCTGCCATGCTAACAGGATTTTGTGCAGTTTCTGTTGAGTTTTCAGTGTTAATTTGCGAGTTTTCATATATTTTTAGACAGAAAAAAAAAAGTCAGATTTAAAACATCCATATTGAGTCAGACAGATTTCCTCATGTTGATTCCAGAGATTGTAGTTGGAGACGCACCGATCAGCTGCTGATTCTGACAACTGGTTTTACTGGTTCTTTGAAACTCAGTTTTCACTGAGCAGTTAAGTGCAACACAATAACTGCAACTTCCTGATGGAGGCAACAGTTTTAAAAATGAAGGATGTGCTTTATTTGATCAATTTATTTATCAAAATGTATCTGATTTCCACCAAACTTTAATGTGCATGGATTATATGCTGCTTGCTGTGTTCACAAAACAATTTTTTCTGTTTTTCCCCTAAGAATCAATCAGGGGAAAATTGTCCAATTTTCATAACTTTTAGATTGTTTTATGATCTAATTTGAGATGAAACATAACAAACATCTTTAAAGGTATCCTGACACATTCAATAAATTTTAATATTATTGAAAAGTCCATTTATTATATTAGATTGATTTGGATGTGTGAAAATCTTTATTTCTGTTATGATGATTTTCCCATTTATAGTTAATAAAAACTTGTATAAAATTAAAATGTTACATAAAACTAATAAAAAAACTTTTTATAAACAGAAAAGCATTAGCTTCTGCCTGGGATTCACAAACCCACACACAATTCTGCAAAATGTAAAGAATCAAATTAATATTTTTTTCTCACTTTTATTTATTATTCAATTATTCTTATATTTATTTAGCATAAATGCTGCCTCCCTCACACCTTCTGATTTTAGTTGATAACTGGTTCTGTATAGGAAAATATTATCAGGTAACATGAGTTTATTGATCTAATGTTGAGTTATAAAGATAAAATTTTTCCCCTTTTGATAAAAAAAATGCAATATTTTGTATATTAATCCCATCAAATTTTATTTAATCTTTTTTTCTTGATGGTTCCTTCTGACCGTCCATTTCTAGCTTGAAAATAAAATTTACCTGACTGAAAATCTCAATCCTATATGGATGAGTTTTACGTTTGTGCTTAAGAAAAGGCCAGGGAGCGCAATATTTATGAATTGATTCTTTAAAATGTTCAGTTTGCATGCTTTGCTCTGTCAGTTTTTAACTCATGTTGTGTTTTTCTTTCTTACATTCTGCAGGCAGGGATTCATAAACGACAAGGTGCCAGTGGAGGTTCTCATCGAAAAGTATCTGCGCATGGACCAGCGAAAGATCCTAATTCCCATCGCAACCAGTGGAAATGTTGTGATCCCTAAAATACGGAAGTGAATACTTTTGAAGCACCATTTTCATCTATTTATCTCCGTTAATATATGTCATTTCTATATGGCTTTGTTAAGGTTTTTGTACATATGTAAATGTTCCTTAAAAAGGTTTTTTTCCTTTTGTATATGTAACTGTTGAGAGGGTTATTTTATTTTCTCTTCTGATTCAAAACACAAATAGGTATAGTTTCAACCATTAATAAAGATTATCTGCATGACAGAAATGATTTTAGACTTTCAATTATTTTACCTGCTGGTATTATGAAGCAACTTGCAGCTGTGTCTGTAACTGAGCTAAAAGCTTTTTATTTGGGGAGGTTTTAGGTTGAAAGTTGTCAGATTGCTTCACTATCTACTAGATTCTTTATTTGATGTTTCTCACCTCATTTGTCTATAAGATCCAAATCACCTGATCTAATTTGGGTGATCTGTGCCTTCAATAGCTCTCTTCTCTTCAGTTAAAGAAATTGAAACAGTCCCAAAACTGCAGACTCGTCCATTCGTCTTATTGCTTGTTGAAGTCCAATTGGAAATGCTTTCTTCTAAATAATGTGTAGATGTTCACTGGTTGCAGCTAACTTCTTAAACTCAAGCTGCTGACTCAATGGCATGAATAGTAATCAATCTAAGTTTTTTTTTTATCAATTAGAATGAACATATAACCAATTTATTTTCCACTAATGAGAAAAGTTTATTATTGTAACTGGGCTGTAATTCCGCTCCTTGACACCAGGGGCGCCGTTCATGTGACGTGACTATGGAGAGCTGTCACTAGCTAACAACAACAGAAAATCCCGGTCGGCAAACGTTTTAATTGGACCCGACATAAAGGTGAGTTTGTCCACAAATTAACCCAAAAATAATGATATTAGGATTAATATCTTGTAGCCCCACGATGGACTCGGTGGTGTCGCTTTTATTCATCGATTGGCGTAAAAATCCCGGTGTTATTTGTGTGTCTCGGGTTAGCCGCTACAGGAGTGAAGCTAACCGAGAGCAGCTCGGTGGAATTAGCTGCCATGTTACCGTTAGATTACCGTGGATTATGGATGGGCTTTCTGCAGCAGGGTCTGTTTAAACAGTTTAAAATGGGTCATTTTAAACCGTCCTTTTCGTCTTCCTGGGTGTTTTAAATTGAAACGAAGTGAGGTGCAGGCTGTGTGTATTGTTAGCAGGTTAACTACCTGCTCCGCCTACAGTGACTAACTAAAGTGTTTCAGTTTACAGCATTTATAGTTTCTAACTTCATGCAAAACGGGTTTTTTTCAAATAAGAGTAAACTTGAGGTTCACATTTAACATATAGAATGTGACACCTCGTGTCGTGGCCCTTTTATACGTGTCATTTACGACCTTTTACTGAGTTCACGATGGAGTATTAGAGGTTTATGTTGGGGCTTGTGTTGTTTTACCTCCTGACTAATGTTTAACTAAGCAGCTCAGACACTGACAGGCTCACCAGCAGGTTGGTTTTATTGTTGTTTCAAAGATGACATGATTAAAATTATTACTTAGACACCACAGACAAACAGGAGTCTAAACATATTGCTAATCTAAAGTAAAGAGTAGCAGCCAAGAAATCACTCCAGAGTAAAAGGTACATCTGACTTATTTATTTTTTAAAAGTCATCTGTCAAACCTATAGTTATATGCAAATTCAGGTACTTTTAAGATTAAAATGAATGAAAACAAAAAACTAGTAATTAGTATCATTACAATATAAAGTAGAATACACAGAAGAAATATTTAAAACATGAAAACGGCATTAGAACAAACAAAGCGTTGTTTTGGAAGCAACGTTAAGTTATTTACCTAGAATAATGTATCGGATATAGGAATGACTTGAATTGATCACGATAATCGTTCCTGTTGTTGACATTTTGTTGCCTTTATTTGATGTTTCTCACCTCATTTGTCTATAAGATTTCCCTGCATTGACAAAAATATCCACATAAACTCTTAAGAGTTGTTTTTATTTTTGGTAAAGTTTGGCAAAACAAAGAAGTGAATCAGCATTTCTGAATTAAAAATACACATTATTCCTTCATAAACTTAAAGTTTGTGGGAGTTTTATTTTACTGATTTTTTGCTTGTTTTCAACCTGCTTTTAGGAAATTGTATTGTTTGAGTTACTCTTGTTTATGAATGTTTTGGTGAGTCTTTCATTCAGTCTGTTCTGAAGATATTAAGTCAAATTTACATGTTTAAGCTTATGTAATGTCTTGAAAGTATTTTTTTAATTTAGCAGAACTTGATGCATTTCACTTGTTTCAGTTACATAATATTAATATACTTGTAAAATGAAGTGAAATTTAAACAAAATTTGTGTTTCGCGGTTGTCCGGACACAGAGGCTAATAGCTTTCTTATTGTCTTGCAGTGCTTTTTGTCAGCTCAGCAGTCTGTTGTTATCTTCTCAGCTCAACAGGTTACCACGTTAAAACATTGTAGTATTTTTATGCAAACAGCAGTGAAAAGTATTTTGCTCTCAGTTGGACTTTTCAGTCACCCTTCACCTTTCCAGCCTTGAATCTGAAGCGGCTTGTGAGGAATAAATGGGCTCACCTAAATGTGACACGCAATAAATCAGAGTTTCTATTTATTATAACTGAAAATGTAAATTTTGCCCCAGTGTCAGGGTCTTGCTTTGTGGCAGTGTTTGCAGCAGTAGTTATTCAAAGGTTTAAACACTTAGCCAGAAGATAACATGATGGCTAGAATCAGTCCTGACTGGAAGAGCTGGCTCATCCGTTTCTCTTATTCAAACCTATTGGACTTTTTCACATTTTCTCACTTTACAGCCATAAACCTTAAAGCTTTTCATTAGGATTTTATGGGATGGATCAACACAAAATGCATTAATGTGGAGAAAAAGGAAAATAACAACTGCTCTCAAATTTTCATACAGACATAAAACTCAGAAATTTGTGCCTTGGAGATAGTAGGGCTGAATTGATTAATAGTGATATAGCAATTATTCAAATAATCGTCAACCAATTTAGTAACTGATTAATCATTAACTAGAGAATACAGACTCAGAAAAAGGTAATTTGCTGAAAGAACAACATACTCTGAGCAGATATTAAGAAAATATATACATTTTTTATATAAGATAAAATGTAATTTTACTAATTGGTTAATCCAAAAATGAACCCCAATACAATTATCAATGATAGTCAACTAATTTAATAAGCAATTAATTGACTGGAGTAAAAATATATGGTAAACATAAAACACATATAGACATTTTGCATTTAAATATAAAAATTTGACATTCGTCAACAAATACTTTCAACCAAAATTCCCTCAAGTGACAGTTTTTGCTGCACTTGGTTTAAATTTTATACAAAATCTCCTATTGAGTACTTTTGTTATCCAGGTATTAATCGGTTAATAAAAACAACAATAAAAACAAACATAAAACTAAAGAGATGAGCCCCACACTGTGTTCATGAGAAGTCAAGAAAAGGCTGAGCTGATGTATCTTATGTCACAATAACTAATGCTGTTACTGCATTTTAAAATGTTTATTTTCTTAATAAAAAGGAAATAAATAGTTGTTTATTTGCATCTTTTATAGAATCAGCAGAATGTGGCAAACTTTTTTATTCCATTAATCGACTAATCGTCAGAGTAATTGCAAGTTGCAGGCCAGGATTAAATGTAAAATCTATGACTTGTCTGAAGCAGGCGATGCATTGGGGTCCCTCCTGCGTTTAACCTCCCAGGTCAGGAGAAAACGGCAGAGTTTTTGTTGGGAACCACAGATGGGAGGAGGTGTCGGCCGGCTGCTAATGCTTTCTTTCTTTCTATATTCTTTCTTCTTTTTTTTTTTGCCCTTGACTGTAATTGCGGGTCCACACAGAGTCGGAGGGCTGTTGTTGGAGGGGGGATGAAAGCGAGGCGAGCCGGTCGCTGCAGCAGAATCAATAGTTCATACCTCACTGAGATTGAGTTTTTAGGGAAGGAGAAGCGCCGTGACCGAGGGCAGAATATGAAATCGCTTCCACTGAGGCCGAGCGCGCTCGTTGCAATCGATCCCGGCTCCTGTACCAATTACAGCTTTAAGGTTCGTCTTTGGCTCGCCGCCGTCCTCACAGACCGGCGCTTTGGAAACAGACGTTGTGTTCGCTGACACTTTGACAAGCGTTGCAGTTTTTTCATCTCTCTTGAAAATTGCGCTCTGAAATGCCTTCATACTTTCAGTCTTTAATTTGGAGCGGAGATTGATTTCTTCTTTCTTATGTGAAATGTCGATGAAAAGGACATAACGGCAACTTTCTGTCCCACGTGTTTTCAAATTTCACTTTTTGTTTTACCTTCAGGTCAAATGTCTGGTTGTTTTGGATATTTGCTCTCAACAAAGTGTGCCGATAAATTACAACATCTTGGTGCATAAAGCAAATATTTCAGGGTGAATTTTAGCAATTTAAAGCTTCATTTCATCAATATTCTGATGTCATGTGAAATATGTGTTTGAATTTTACGGTTCCTTTTATTTCAGGAACCAAAGTTTACAGACTCAACTTTTATGGATGTTTGTTTGTTGGTATCATTAGCATAATTATCTTCTTTATATTTAAAATTTTCTTTTGTCACATAATAAATAAAAAATACAGACGATAGAATTGGGTGTACAATAAAGAAAAAAAAAGAAAAGTAGGAAAAGAGTCCAGTGTTGTACTTTATTTAGCTTTTTATAAACATCTTGCATTTCATTGTCGATTTACTTGAGTAATTTTATTTTGACATATTTCTATGTCATAATAGTAAAATTTCAGGATTTTCTACCCACTGAATGAAAAACAAACCAAAAATGAACCAGACACAGACGCACACCTGCAGTTTCTGTTACAGTTTTGTAAGTTTTATTTAGAAAAAAATTGATTTGGAAAAAAATCTTTTACCTGATTTTTCTTATTTTACTTGTATGAATTATTGTCAATTTAACCCTTAAAATACCTAAATTTCCTTTAAACTTTGTTATGTAATTTTTAAATATTAAATGATTGATAACTCGGTCAGTTACTCAGTACTTTTCATCAAATACTTTTTTACTTGAGTATTTTTGGGTACTCTGCCCGGTCTGGGTGTCGCTTCCCACCTGCAGGTTTAAAGTTTCCTCTCCGGTCTGCAGATCTGGATTTGATTTCTCCTTCATGCGTTTCTTTGATTTCCTGCCGCCTCCATCTAACCTCTTTTTGTTCCAATTTATCTTGGTGAATGGTTCCACTGATGCAGCTCCATCCTTCATCCAAATCTTGATTTTTCATTTCACTTTTCCTTTAATCGTCTCCCTTTGCGCTTTCTTCGCTGGTCATCTTCTCTCTCCGTCTCACCTGGTGCAGAACAAGAAAAGCTGCTGCTGATCATTTATGCTGGGTTGAGGTTCATTGATAGATGGAAATGTGGGTTGATTAATTTGTTCCTCAGTATTTCAGGGCAAATTATTGACTGATTTTCTCAATAACTGAAATAAAATTCAGACCAAAGTTTAATTATCTATTTGTCTGTTCTACTAACTTTGAATTGAATTTATTTATTGTTGAATATTTTATATTTTACCTTCCTTCCTTCCTTGCTTGTTTCTTTTTTTTTCTCTTTCTTTCTTTCCCCTCTCCCCTTCCTTTTTTCCTTCCTTCCATTTTTGTGATAAATTAATTTTAACCTTAATTCTTTCTGTTCAGGTGAACCAGGATTCTCCTTTATTTTTACACCCCGACATAAAAATGACAGTTTATCTCATCCTGTAACCTGAACTGAATAATAAAAATATTGACTCAACTGTGTCTGGTTTCTGCCTGCAGGGGGCGCCCTGCTTCCCTCTGCTGTTCACCGATGCAGATGGACGTCGGGACCCGACGCTGACGAGAGGAAGTGTCACATTCCAGCTCTTCTCCTTCTTCTTCTTCACCCTCGTGTCCCACGAGACGTTGCCTCTGTCACACTGGCAATGTCCAGGGTCCCGAGTCCGCCGCCTCCCGCGGAAATGTCCAGCGGGCCGGTGGCCGAGAGCTGGTGCTACACGCAGGTAAGATGATGTCAAACTGCACAATTCTGTGACAACGCTGTAAACGTTATTTACAGTCGATACTTTCAGACACCAATTAAAGAGACAGAAATGCAAAGATAAAACTTTGGAACTAAAGAAATGCTTTAAAAAGGAGCTTTTTGATAAATATGTTGGAATAACTTTGAAAACTTACTTTAAGAAAGTAAAAAAAGTTCTTGAATAAATACATTCAGGCATTTGTCTATTATAAACACCTCAATCTTTTGCTGCATCATCTCTAACAGATCAAAGTGGTGAAGTTTTCCTACATGTGGACCATCAACAACTTCAGCTTCTGCCGTGAGGAAATGGGCGAAGTCATCAAAAGTTCGACCTTCTCTTCTGGGGCCAACGACAAACTCAAATGGTGAGAATCACAGAAAATAATGAACAAAAACACAAAATACAGGCTGGAAACTTTATATTTTTACTCCCTAGTATATTATAAGCCTGGCGGGCCACCAGGCTTTACTTCCTCCCCCGCCAGGCTAAGTGTTATCCGTTTATTTTAAATTATAATTTGTTTAATATGGACAACAGTAGCAGTAATAGAAATATAAACCATTAGTAATCTTTAGTAAACAAGTACCTTTTTAAAAAGATAATGGCATAACCTTCTATTCATCTATTTTCTTTGTTGTTGATTTTTTTATTTTCAAAGTTTCCTGTCAATTTTTTTGAACATGAAAACATCGTAGGACAATGCTAACACCGCGATTGGCTAGTTTCTTGGGTGAGAACCTGAACTTGCATATCTCTGCTGTTGTTTAGTCCCTTAAATTTAAATTTATCTTTAGCTGTAATTTAATCCACAAGCATTTTGAATCTGGACATTTTTTTTTTCCAATTGTTGGCTAAATTTAGCTGGACTTTGAATCTTGCCAGCGATTCTCAGTTGGATGTAACTCAGGACTTTGACTAGGCTGCTCTAATAATTACCCCAAAGAAAAACTAAATGTTGCCGTAACAAATCTTACCAAGTGTTTTTTTTATTTGCTGTTAATTTCTTCTGAATATATCTGAGTACACTTTAAATAAGACAAAAAATAAATTACTAGAGTTTCAGCAGGAAATAGGAGCTTTTTTTTTTTACGCCTTTAGTTTCTTAATATTATTTAAAAAGTTTACAGTTACAGTCGTTACCTAGCAACGCCTGCCAAACCGGGCCCGTCTCCTAGCAACCGAGTTCTGGTTCCACCAACAGATTTTCTTCTCTTGCAGCAAAAACGTTTGCAGGAAGTGAACCCGCATCCTTCCAGTGGAACCAGTGCGTTTTGGGCTGGTTGGCACCAGCAGGAGGTTTTGACCGGTGCTGGTTTTTTGTCCTCAGGTGTTTGCGAGTGAATCCCAAAGGCCTGGATGAGGAGAGCAAAGATTACCTGTCTCTCTACCTGCTGCTAGTCAGCTGTCCGAAAGCAGAGGTGCGAGCAAAGTTCAAGTTCTCCATCCTCAACGCCAAGGGAGAGGAGACCAAAGCCATGGGTGAGCAAAAACATGATTAATAATATATTTTAGTTGTAATGCCCCGAATATCAAAGGGCAGGAAACAAGAACAAAACGAGCAATTTTAATTAACATTATGGAGCATTCAGAGCTGGGTAGTAACTAGTTGCATTAACTTGAGTAACTTTTAGAAGTATTTTTACTATGCTGTACTTCTGGGTAATTTTATTCTGAAGTATTTCTTACTCGAGTAAAACGTCTGGATTTTCTACCTACTGAGTGAGAAACAGACTGGACACAGAAACACACCTGCAGTTTCTGTTAGTTTCATAAGTTATTTTTCTTTTGTCTGATTTTATTTTTGTTGCCATTTTCATTCTTAAAGTACCAAAATTTCCACTTTTTTGGTTCGTCTGATGATTTAATTTTGAAAAATTAAATGGTTTATGATTTGATCAATTACTCTGTAGTGTTTTTGCCTAATGCCTTTTTACTTTCCTTGAGTAATGTCTTGGACAGCTTCTCTATACTTGAGTAAAAATATGTTTTACTCTTACTTGAGTACAATTTTTGGATAGTCCTTCCACCTCCGGTAATATTTTAGAATGACAGTTTTTTACAGTGTATTTCTTTTAAATGTTGAACCAATTCTTTGTCCTTGTGCAGAAAGCCAGAGGGCGTACCGCTTCGTCCAGGGAAAAGATTGGGGCTTTAAGAAGTTCATCCGGAGAGACTTCCTCCTGGACGAGGCTAACGGTCTGCTACCTGACGATAAGCTAACGCTCTTTTGTGAGGTAATTTTTCTTCTGTTTTCATAGCGGTGGAGCGTTTACCGTGCTGTATTTCAGCGCCGGCTTTTTCTTCCTTCAGGTGAGCGTTGTGCAGGACTCGGTCAACATATCGGGTCAGAACACGATGAACATGGTGAAGGTACCGGACTGCCGGCTAGCGGACGAGCTGGGCGGCTTGTGGGAGAACTCGCGCTTCACCGACTGCTCCCTGTGTGTGGCTGGACAGGAGTTTCAGGCCCACAAAGCCATCCTGGCAGGTAAACAAACACCTATCAGGTTAATCCTGAAACCTTCTAAGTCCTAAGTTTCAAATTTCCGCCTGGATATTTTTGTTTATTTTAATTCTATGCGGTTCTTTAAATGACCTGTGTGCAAGTGTATTTTCCGATTTATCCATAACTTTCAATATCTAGGAAGTTATTTTCGCAATTTAGCTCCGGTTAATTTCACTTCCTGCTGCGGTGGGAGGGAAATTACCGTAATAACCCGATATTTGCTGGAAAGCTCAATGTCTTTCCTTTCAAAAACTGTTGGAATTTTTCTGATAGTGCAAAGTTTCGGGGAATAACGATAATTTGTCTGGGTCATCGTTGATCCGTTTGGCCTGGAATTGACATGACGCCGGCTCCGCCCCCATGCTGACAGAGCAATGTCCAGGTTAACGCATGGAGGTCCGTTAATCTGCCTTAATAACGGTGGTTTTCCTGCTCTACATCCGCATGGGGGCGGAGCCGGTGTCATGACAGTCGTTAAAGAATAATTCATTTAAAACAAGCTTGCATGTGCTCAGAAGTGCTTGATATTGTTTCCTCTGTTCCAGCGCGTTCCCCTGTATTCAGCGCCATGTTTGAGCACGAGATGGAGGAGAGCAAAAAGGTGAGTCCGACCCGTCCGTCTCCTAAAAAATGAATTTGTTTTGATCCTTGATGGCTGCAATTTTCCAATTTTTGAAGGATTGCGTGCCGCTGAACAGCTGCAACACAAAGGTGTTTGCAGAAACTGGATGACAGTGAAACCCAAACGCAATTGTCCCGTTTTCACTCGGGGGTCGGGACTCATCCTTCACTGTCAGAGCCACAGAAACACAGAATTGCTTTTTCTCCCCTTCTGCCGACGACAAGCCATGAAATTACAGCCACACTGATTTTTTTTGTTCAAAGTCAGACCAGCAGAAATACTTTTAATTTTAAATGTAAATGTATTAATTTGAATACATTTGAAACAATATACAGTTTTCAATAAAATCATTTTGAATTAAAACATACCAGAAAAACAGCAGGAAAAGCCCGACGGATTAACTCATCGCCTTTTCTTTGGTACGGTGATCTTACATGATTTGTTGCAGAAATTATAGGTAAATGTTTTTTTTTCTTTTTAAATGTTAAGTGTTATTAAAACTGCTGGGGAAAAATCTGAAAAAGGATGAAATTTCAAAGTGGAAAATGTGTAGAAACTCTGAACACAAGAACAAAAATAACATTTTATCAATGAAAAATAATAAAATAGTTGTGAAAAAATATCTATGAAATCCCCTTATCCACTGGAATAACTGAAGTTTTATCACAAACCGTGTTTTAATAAATCCCTTTCATCCACCGTCCTCCTCCTCCGTCAGAATCGTGTGGAGATCAACGACGTGGAGCCAGAAGTTTTCAAGGAGATGATGTGCTTCATTTACACAGACAAAGCTCCCAACCTGGACAAGATGGCCGACGACCTGCTGGCAGCAGCCGATAAGGTCACTTTCTCTTCATGGGTTCATTACAGGCTGAAGACATTTCAGCAGTGGATATTGTATTATATTCTTCATGAAGTCATTTGTAAATATTTCCAGTGTGATTCAGGTCACACACACCAGTCAGCGCATTTCGAAATGCGCTGACTGGTGCAAAATAAACAAAAATAGTAGAAAATTTTCTACTATTTCTATTATGTCCAATTGTTTATGATTTTCTGCCTGGATATTGTTAAAAATTTATAACATGGGGTAAACAGCCACCCAGCAGTTAGCTGACGATGAATAGCTTTGGTTTTAGCTGACAGGTTGTCAATATGACGCGATAAATCTTAATTGTACGCCTGATATATAAAAGAAAAAGGGACCAGGTGCTTTGCTACTAATTGTCAACACTGCAAAAACTAGATATCAGGGCCAGGAAAAAGTTTATTTAAGAGAAAAATATATATAGGCAGAGGGAAGCAGTCCAGTTACGCTAGCTTGACTTTGAAAACTGTAACATCTGGATGTGTTGTGGAGTTTGGTGCGTTTCGTTTCAGATAAAAAACACAAAAAAAGGCGACACTCTTTGATGTCATTAATCTCAAAACAAACATCGAGTCTGAAAACATAAAACTGTAACGGACTAAATGTTCGGATCTTCATGTGGGAAAAGTTTGAGTGAACTTTGGAGTTGATTCCTGAAAGTGGCGTTGCTCTCAGATGCTACAGCGGCGAGTCTGCGTGTAGCGTAGCCGACACAAAAAACAAGAAAAAGAAAACCATTGTTCCTCAATGGTTTTCTGTGTTTTTTTCCATCCTTTTTTCTGGTGCATTGCACTAAATTAGTAATAATACCCACAGCTCCAGGTTTCATTTCGCTAACGGAGATGTTTCTCCGCTACGGTGCGGTTATGGATGGGAAGCAAAAGAATCGTCATCTTGCCCTCCCAGTGTTGCAAAATTTTAAAATGTAAACAAAAACCTGCAACATTCAGTTTAAACACACTTTAAAATTGATTCAGAATTCACAGAGTTGCACCTGCAGTTCAACCAATGTAGCTGAGTACATTGGTTTTAGCTACACATCCCTCCTCTTATAACCAGTTTTCTCTGTCAGAAGTCGGATTTAAAATTTTGTTGCTTAAAATAGAGTGAGTATGGGGAACACTGAAGCCTCTGTGTCTCTTTCAGTACGCTCTGGAGAGACTCAAGGTCATGTGTGAAGATGCTCTGTGCACCAGCCTGTCCGTGGAGAACGCCGCGGAGATCCTCATCCTGGCCGACCTGCACAGCGCCGACCAGCTGAAAACGCAGGCGGTCGACTTCATCAACTAGTGAGTTCACACACAGCCCGCCTCACGTGTCCGCCGTGTTCGCGCCGTGTTCGTGTCCGTTCGCGTCGTGTTAGCGTCGTGTTCTTGCCGTATTCGCGCCGTGTTCACGTCGTGTTTGCGTCGTGTTCGCGTCTGTTCTTGCTGTGTTCTCGCCATGTTCTTTCCGTGTTCGCATCTGTTCGCGTCGTGTTCTCGCCGTGTTCGCGTCGTGTTCTCGCCGTGTTCGTGTCGTGTTCTCGCCGTGTTCGTGTCGTGTTCTCGCCGTTTTCGCGTCGCGTTCTCGTCGTTTTCGCGTCGCGTTCTCGCTGTGTTCGCGTCGTGTTCTTGCGTATTCGCGCCGTGTTCACGTCGTGTTTGCGTCGTGTTCGCGTCTGTTCTTGCCGTGTTCTCGCCATGTTCTTTCCGTGTTCGCATCTGTTCGTGTTCTCGCCGTGTTCGCGTCGCGTTCTCGCCGTGTTCGCGTCGTGTTCTCGTCGTGTTCTCGCCGTTTTCGCGTTGCGTTCTCGTCGTTTTCGCGTCGCGTTCTCGCTGTGTTCGCGTCGTGTTCTTGCCGTGTTCGCCGTGTTGGCCTCGTGTTCGCGCCGCCGTGTTGGCCTCGTGTTCGCGCCGCCGTGTTGGCGTTGTGTTCGCCGTGTTGGCGTCGTGTTCGCGTTGTGTTCTCGCCGTGTTGGCGTCGTGTTCGCGTTGTGTTCGCTGTGTTGGCGTCGTGTTGGCCGTGTTGGCGTCGTGTTCGCGTTGTGTTCTCGCCGTGTTCGCGTCGCGTTCTCGTCGTTTTCGCGTCGCGTTCTCGTTGCGTTCTCGTCGTTTTCGCGTCGCGTTCTCGCTGTGTTCGCGTCCTGTTCTTGCGTATTCGCGCCGTGTTCACGTCGTGTTTGCGTCGTGTTCGCGTCTGTTCTTGCCGTGTTCTCGCCATGTTCTTTCCGTGTTCGCATCTGTTCGCGTCGTGTTCTCGCCGTGTTCGCGTCGCGTTCTCGTCGTTTTCGCGTCGCGTTCTCGCCGTGTTCGCGTCGTGTTCGCGTCGTGTTCTCGTCGTGTTCTCGCCGTGTTCGCGTCGCGTTCTCGTCGTTTTCGCGTCGCGTTCTCGCTGTGTTCGCGTCGTGTTCTTGCCTTGTTCGCCGTGTTGGCCTCGTGTTCGCGCCGTGTTGGCGTTGTGTTCGCCGTGTTGGCGTCGTGTTGGCCGTGTTGGCGTCGTGTTCGCGTTGTGTTCTCGCCGTGTTGGCGTCGTGTTCGCGTTGTGTTCGCTGTGTTGGCGTCGTGTTGGCCGTGTTGGCGTCGTGTTCGCGTTGTGTTCTCGCCGTGTTGGCTTCGTGTTCGCGTCGTGTTGGCGTTGTGTTCGCCGTGTTGGCGTCGTGTTGGCCGTGTTGGCGTCGTGTTTGCGTCGTGTTCTCGCTGTGTCAGCTCCTTTAATCTCGTTTCTTCCTTCCAGTTGGCACCAGGACTCGGGTTTGTTAGAGTAACTGATTTAATTTCACATGTGTCTCTGTGAAGTGGCGGGTTTGATGTTATTAAAGTGTGCTGAATGTTCCTGACGGATCGGGGCATCCTGACTCCTCGCCGCGCCGCGCCGGCACCTCCTCTGTTGCCGCAGAGACGGGATGTGTGATAAAGATCGATCACGTGTCTTTACAGACTTCTGGCTCACACAGACTTTGAGTCGGAGCCGACGAAGGGTCACAAAAACGTTTGCTTTAGTGGTAAGAAGCATAAAAAGACCAAATATGATGAAGAAACCTCATAAACCTCTTCCTGAATACTGAATGCTTTAGAGTTTTTACCTGATTCAACACAAAAAATGTTTTTTTTGTGAGGATTCACATACAGGTGAAGCGATTAATCACGATTAACTGATTGCAGAAGTAACTGTCAATTCATTTAGTAATCAATTAATTTTACACAGACTCCAAAAAGAGGCCGATTTCTGAACCAACATAAAAGCAATAAAGGCAAAACTGTAAATATGTTCAACCCAAACTATTCAAATGACAGTTAGCTAAAGTTCAAATTCTTAGAAAAAAAAAGTTGATTACTTGTAGATTTCCTGCAAGTGATCAAATGTTCACTGAGGGAATGTTGTTATTGCATTTCAGGTAATTAATGTTTATTTTCTTATTTAAAAAAGGAATTGAATTATTTGTTTATTTGCATGTTTTCATGTATTTCTAATATTTTTTGTTTTGTGTGCTGAATGAAATTGGTAAAATAATGCAAAGTTTCTATGATGGACAAATTTTGGTGTTGAGTTCAGTTTTTAAAATGTAAAAAACCAAGAGAATATCAGTAGTTTTAGTTCTTTTAAACAATGACAGAAATGCTTTTAAGTGTCTTTTAAAACATTAAGATATTTAATGATATATGTTGATATTCTTTGGTAGTGGGAAAACTGTGACTTCCTTTCTTTTTTTAAATAAAAAAAATCTTTCATTGATTTTGTTTTATTTATTTTCAATTTGAATTTGTATAGCATTTTTTTGTTTCTAGTTTTTTGTGTTTATTGATTTTATTAAACTTTTTGAATTTTTTTACAGTTATTGATTTAAATAAATTATAAAAAAAACATTCAATGTTCTGCTGGATCACAGTAGTTTGTAGTTTGTTTACTAACAAACTACCATGTTTATCTCTGGCTGTTTTCATTCGCTAACGATAAATATGATTAAATGAAAAATGTGAAATTCAGAAAAATAGAACGGATTTATTAGAGACTTATATTGGTTAGTTTGACCTCTGGTGACCTCTGTCTCTCGTCCCTCCAGCCACGCAGCGGAGGTGATGGAAACCGCCGGCTGGAAGTCGATGGTCGCCTCCCATCCGCACCTGGTGGCCGAAGCTTACCGCTCGCTGGCGTCCGCCCAGTGCCCCTTCCTGGGACCGCCCCGCAAGCGCCTCAAACAATCCTAAAGGCAACAAAACACACACTCTCTCTCCCTCTCACACACACATACACACACAAAGGCTCCCAGACACACAGCGACAACCATTCTCCTTGCTGTTACCTACAACACTACCACCCAGAACCTGCTGTATCCCGTCTTTAAAGAAGAAGAGGAAGGAGGGGATTGTAACGTGGATCTTTTAGTGTTTACAATAAAACCCGCAGCACCCTGTTCTTCTTCTTGCTCCCCGGTTCTGACGTTGTTCTTTTTTTTTTTTTTTAATTTAAATTTTTTTTTTCCCGTGTATCCAAGGAAGAGCGAAGCGCCGCCTCAAAAGTCTCCGATTCGGAGCGCGGCGGCAGATAAAGTGTCTGTTTTTTATCGTAAAGCGAATCGCGCGATCCTCCCAGGAAAGTCGAGGACTCTGTAGGGAGGGCTCTGGTTACAAACTGGAAGCCCAAAGAGAAAACCAAGGGCTAGTCGAAATCGAAAAGTTCCCAGTTAAACTTGGGGAAAAAAAAAATTGCACTAACGCCACAGAGCAGCCCTCGCCAACCCATAACCAGCGGCAACCTAGAAATACTGTAGGCAAGCGCACAATGGACCCAGCTGGACCACCAACAACAACAACAACAACAACAACAAGTTCCCTTTAAGAAAATCTGTCTGCAAGTGACTCAAACAAACACTGGCGTCCATTTTTCTGTCTTCTAAACTCCAGGAAGCATAAAGAAATAAAAGCAACGCACAACTAGATGTTGTTGGTATTTCTTGTGAATTCTGAGAACAACGTCTGGAAATGGTTACGGATATTTAGAAAAGAAAAAAAACAACAACAAAAGGTTTGTGCGACACGCCGTTTTGTTTTTCCACTTCCATAGGAAATAGCGCAGATTTCTATTTGTGTTTCAGGACCGAGTGCGTTTTTGTTTGCAGCATAAAGACTAAAGGGAAATGAGATTACAATGAACACGTTTTAATGTTCAGAATATATCAGTTCCAGACAAAAGCAAACAAAAAGAGGAAGTCCTGAATTACAGAAAATACAGTCAATGTGAAAAGAAAGTACACCCTCTGTCAGTTCCTGGGTTTTAATGTTTAAATTTCCTGTTTTTTAACAGGCTAAGAAATTATTTAAACCAAACCACAGATTCCCCCACTATTTATTAAAATGGAAAAAGTTTGGTACAAAAAAAATTAAGTACACCCTCTAAATATGTACAAAATGGGTAAAACCCTCGAATTTAAGCGGTTGTACTTTGTTTTTCTTTTCTTTTGTTTTTAGCCATGACTGTACATTTTGAAGTTTTCATTTCAAACTGTTGGAAAATTGTAATGATAGAAGGAACCGATGTTTCTTTTCCTGTAGATATTTCTGATTTTGAGAAGTGACACTTAGCTGTTGCCATTTTTTTGTTCCCAGAAAAAAATAAACCACAACTATTTTGTATTGAACCTGATGTCGTCTGAGTGATTTTATGAACAGAAATGACATAAAAGATTCTGATTGCTGTTTATCAGAAATCCTGATAAACAATCCTTAAATGTGTTTTAATGTTTTATCAAGGAGTTAGGGATATTCTATGGCATCACATTCCTGACAAAAACCTTAAGTAGTGTATTACAACAGTAAATAGTTTTTTAACAGAGGTCACATTTCCATTTATTTGCAGTAGTAGTAATAAAATGAAGACGACTACAGAAAACTCTTCAGACAGCAACTAAAAAAAACATTTTTTGCAAAACATACAAATTTGTGGTTCTGTTTTAGAAATGTCTTCCTGGGAATTTGTGTTTATGTTCAAAAGTAAATGTTATTTTTGTGTCGATCAAGGATAATAACCTGGCATCAAGGAAGGCGGAGGCAGCAGTGGAGTAGAATTAAGGAGTACTGCCACCTGCTGGTGGGAGTTAGCATCACTGGATAATGTTTTGGACAATTTTTTTTGCAGAAAAGTTGCAATCAAGTCACAATTATGTATTAGTGCAAAAAGAAAATATAGGGAATCTTTAATTTTTCTTGAATTCCCATGAAATAGAATCACGCAAAACTGACAAGATTAATATTTATGTAACAGAATAAGTTCAGTCAGAGGCTTCATCTGATCTTGCTGTAACACGGACTGCTACAGTAGATAATTTCTAATGTACAATGTTTCTTTGGCTTTAAAAAAAAAAGATAAATTGAGCTGCAACAACTAATTTCATTAAAACTGTATTTTAAGTAAAATTTCTGTATTTTCTACCCACTAAATAAAAAAACATGTTTTAACTAAAAATTCATCACACACAAACACACACCTGCAGTTTTTGTTCAAGTTAATTTTTTATTTTTTTTTATTGTCAGAAACTGATTTGGATTTTTTAAATTTTGTATTTATGTTATTTATATGAATTATTTGCCTTCCAAACTTTAACATACCAAAATTTCAACATAACTTTGTATTTTGTCTGTTTTATGACATAATTTTAAAATATTAATTAATTGATGGTTCGATCAGTTACTCAGATTTTACCACATTTAAAAAAAAAATTGTTTATTTTTTCTTGAGTTAAAGGTTAACGTTCTGAAACAAACACCTCAGATTTTGAACCTGATCTTGATCTGATCCCACATGAGGTTTGAGAAAATAGTGAAGAAAAAAAAAAAGCGCTGAACGTGCAGAAATAAAACATAAAGTGCCTTACTTTGGCGCTTTTTTGCGGGGAACTGGTGCAGAAATGTGTCGCTGTCGGCAGGTTCTCAGCATGAAATGTGTCAACTTTGAAACCCTGACCAACTGTTTTCTCACATCCACTGCAGCCTGAGAGTTTCTCTCTTTTTCCCTCTAAAAGTCATCAGAGAGCTGAGGTGCTAATTAGAGGATTTCCATTGACTTGGGGTGAAAGGTCATTGTGTTTGCTGCTTCGCGCTTCCCTCTGATTCTGTGTGAATATTGAATTCAGAGCTTTTAGGGCCGACGAGTTTATTCAAAGATGTTCTTTCAGTTTCAATACTTCATTTTTCTATACATTATGAAACTTTTTATCTTGGACTGAAAGATTAACCATCATGTATTTAGCATCTCCTTAATCATATAATACTTAAATATAACAATTATTTTCATTTTCTTGCATAAAATTTCAATTTCAAGTTAAAATAAAAAAATATTTTGACTCCCAAAGAGAAATTAAATTAACTTTTTTACATCAGATCAAGTTAGTTTTAAATTAGTTTTTTCCCCTTTTAGTGAATAAAATCAGTGTTAAAAAACAGCTTCTTGCTCTGGTTATCTTTGATATTTTAGGTTTAAGTCTGAATGTGTGTTGATTTATAGTTTCCATTTGGATCAGACATTATGAACTGTTAATTAAAACCAAAATAACTGATCACAAAATGACTCCCTTTTCTTGTTGTACACTATAAGCAGATTTATTTTAAAATGACAAAAAGACAAATTATTCTGAAAATATCTGTCACCAGACAACTTAAACTGCAAAAGTTTGAAAAAAACAATATTAAATTATGAAGGTTATATTTTTAAATATTCAACTCCAGATCGTTCTGGTTCCTTTTAGTTTGACCAGTTTTGATAAAAATTGAAAAATAATATCAGCTACAATCATTTATTTTTAAACAGGGAACATCACCTAAACATATATTTTACTATGTTTAATCAAGAATGTTCTCAAATGGTGCCGTTTGTAAAGTTACATAATCAAAATTAAAAGCAAAAAGTTTATATTTAGCTTGTCATAAGAGGGAAAAAATATAAATTTCTCAGTCACAATTTCACCACGTTATTCATCATATATGAAGGTGACAGTTCCAAACTAAGCTCTGCTAGCAAGCTAAATATTTGCCATTAACCTAAATATTTAGCTCAATTTAGTTAGCAAGCTAAATACGTTCTTTACAAACTGTTTAGTTTGGCTGAATATTTAATTTGGAACTAAATATTTAGCTCAAAACTAAATATTAGTAAGTTAGGTAGCTAAATATTTAGCTTGCTAACTAAATTGAGTTAAAAACTACATATTAACAAGTTAGCAATCTAAATGTTTTGCTCCAAACTAAAGTTTTAGTAAGTTGGCATGCCAAATGTGCTGTTTACCAACTATTTAGCTAAATATTTATTGAATAAGCTATATATTTAATTTCTGTTTAGCTCCAAGCTAAATATTAGCCAAATATTAGCACGTTAGAGAGAGAAAATGCTAATATTTAGGTTGGTTGTTGTTTGCAAGCTATAAAGCAATTTAGCTTGTTGTTGTTATTTAAACAAGCTTAATAGCTTGTCTTTGCTTACAACAACAACTTATTTGTTAATTAAGCTTATTTAAGCTAAATTAACAAGCTTAAACAGCTTGAACAGCTAAATATTTAGTTCCAAACAGAATATTAAGTAGTTAGCAAGCTAAAGATTTTGTCCCACGCTAAATATTAAAATGTTAACAAGCTTTAGTTAAATATCTATTTAGTAAACTAAATATTTAACTTGCTAAATGAATATTTAATTTGAACCTGGGACATTTATAGGTGAAGGGATTATATGGCGAGAATATGAAAATGAAACCTGTTTTTCCCACTTATAACAGCCTAAATAATCCAAATTATTGCTGTTAATATGTGACTCACTTTCTATACAAACAGCATCCCATGTATTTCAGGACAAAGTTTTGAACGGCTCAAACTGCATCCATCCTCGTCACCCTGTGGGCAGGTGGGGTGGGACCTGGGAGCTGTAGTCCGGACAGACTTTCTGGACCAGCCTGTAATCCGTACTGTAGAACGACATGTAGACGCAGATGACCTGGAAAGGCTTGGAGCACATCCAGGTGATGTGGCTCTGGGTTTGTTCTTGGTCGCACGTCTTCGACGGGTCGTAGTTGCACAGCATCACCTTCTTGCTGCGTTCGGTTTTCTCGTAGTCCACCCTGCAGTTGAACGTCTTCGACTCCTTGGGGTGGACCACGCTCTGGCGCTCCAGGTCGAACTCCACGCCCTTCATGGGCGGGACCAGGCTGACCGACACGTTGCCAACACCCGTGGAGTTGTGACGGAAGTAGACGCCGAGAGAGCCGTTGCCGTGATCCACGATCTTCCCCATTATCAGCAAATTCAGTTTCACGGTTTTGATGTTGGAGTAAAAGTCGCCCCAGCTGAACAACCTCGACAGTTTAGAAAGTCCTTGAACTTTCATGATGGGCTGAAGCCTAATTTTTACCGACGGGTCGGAGTTGGGTTTGGAGATTTCCCAAAGCCTCTTCTTCGATAGGGGAACCGAGGGATTGTCGAAGACTTTGGAGTTCTGGACGGCAGTCCTGGACCGAAGAGCCCAGATTTTCTGGAGACGCTCCTCTTGGTCTTTGTAGGGTTGAGACGATGATGAGTTCCTGAAGGCAAAGTTACTCTGAGTCTCATGTTGACTGAGAACCAGCTGGATGGGAAATGATGAGAAAATACAAACAATGAGCCTCAGAGGGAGTTTCAAAGAGCATTACTAGATTCAAACTCAACTTTTCTAGCAACTTATTTCAAACTACAGTGTCTACCAGTTCTGTTATTTGTAGTTTTGGGTTTGACTAATAAATATTGTTTGAATTTATAGTGGAAATCCAATTTTACAAAGATATTTTTGCTTCTCTACCAATACCCAAATAAATGTTTCCAGGATACAGAGAAACCACACAGTTTTTGTAGCCGTGAGAAAACTTCTGACATTATTCTAGCATTGGAGCTCAGTTGTTGGTAAAGTTAATTTAAACTGGTTAATTATTGGCTAAAGACTTTAATGTTAATATATTACATTTAATATTAATCTGCTTTGTATGTATTGGTACCATAAGTGTTAAACAACTACGGTACTCATGATTTGTGCTCACAAATTCACAAAATCAGGATTTGTATCCAACCAGTTGTTTTTGATTGCCAGCAGTGGAGAGCAGAGTACCCAAAAAAGTACTCAGGTAAGAGTACTACTACTTCCACAATATATTTTTACTCAAGTTAAAGTAAAAAGTAACCATCCAAGAAATGACTCAAGAGTGAAAAAGTGTTTGGTGAAAAGAAAACTCAAGTCCTGAGTAACTGATCAAGTCATCAATCATTTAATATTTAAAAACTACATCAATAGACGAACCAAAATATGAAGTTAAGTGGAAATTTTGGTATTTTAAGGACCAAAATGACAATAATTCATATCAAAAACAAAAAATAAAATCAGGAAAAATAAAATCAGTTTCCTTCAGTAAAATTAAAATTATGAAACTTTAACAGAAACTGCAGGTGAGAGTTTGTGTTTCTGGTTAAAACATGTTTGTTTTTCATTCAGCAAGTAGAAAATCCAGAAATTTGTAGTGAAGTTAAATGACTTGAAGTTGGATTTGCTTCATTATTCCATAAACAAGAGAATCATTAGTATAATGAACTACACTGCAAAAACACAAAACCTTATTTTGTCTTGATTCCGGTGCAAATGTCTTAGTTCACTTTAAATAAAACTAAATTAAAGTAGAAATAATTTTTCTTGTTTTAGTCAATAATTGTTAAATATTGACTAAAACATTACTAGTTCCACTGGCAGATTATTTCACTTATAACAAAATATTTTTCACATCTTAAAAGCAAAATAATCTGTAGTAAAACTAGAACTTTTTCAAAGTTAAGGAATCATTAACATAAAACAAGTTTTGTCTTAATTCAAGTGTATTGAGATGTTTCCATTTGTATCTAGAGTAAATATGATTTGTATTTTTTGCAGTGTCCTGTTTATCTAAATTCTTATTTAAATTTTATTAGTTGCTCAAGAAAAAAGAATCATTAAAAGCTCTAATTTACAATACCAATCCCAGCTTCCTCCACTGAAAATGCATTACAGAAATTATTTGAAGCATAAATAAATTATCACATTTCTTTCCTTCTAGTCTGTAAAAAAAAAAACATTAAAAAACTTGCATTCTTGTTACTTTTAAGCATTTTCTCAGGTCTGTTTCAATTTACTGCACAGGTTCCCTTCACAGCTGTTTACATCTGTTAAATTAGACTTTTACTCACCAAATAAAAGCTTCCAGTCAGAAGAATCCAGCGGCAGGAAAACGTCTCCATCGTTCCATATGGACCTGAGCTTCATTCAGGACGAGTAACGGGATCAGCTCTGGAGCAGGAAGCTAAGCTGCTGCCTCTGACTGAGAAAACCTCAGATCTGGACGCTCTGCTGCATCTTCCTCACCTCTTCATCGCTCACACACACACACACACACACACACACACACACACACACACACACACACACACACACACACACACACACACACACACACACACACACACACACACACTTCTTTCTTGAAATCCCCAAAACACACAGATTGTACTTTTCTCCTCTGTTTCTGCTGAATACTTCATCCTCTGTGTTTGTAATGAATTCTGTGATTAAAATCTGAATTTATTTGCATCTTAAATGAAAACGAGGCTGATCAGATGTGGGGAAATTCTGCCATCTTGTGGCCAGCAGAAAAAATGCAATCTGAGCTTGAAGAAAACAAATCAAAAGTACAAAATTAGTCAATTATTTAATTAAAAAAATGCACAACTTTATTTGCGGCCATGCTCAGGAATTCATTAAAGTTGTAATATTTCAATGAAACAATCAATGCAGTTTGATTTTTGTATTTATTTTCATGTACTTTATACATTGATAAAAACTAAAGGGTTTGTGGCTGAGAAAATCTGCAAAAACACAAAATCCTACAAAGTATTTTTGGTTCATTTTATTGTGCAAATATCTTAATATATGTGAAATAAGAGAAAACGAGCTTAAAGTAACTGAGAGGAGATGGCTGTAAGTCAATAATTTCCTAATATTGATGTAAAAGTTTCAGAACCAGAGTTTGGTTGGTAGGTAACAGGCAGGACGTTTTCATCAATAATGACTCTTCACTGAAAACAAGCTCCTACATTTTGCTGAAGTTATTTTCAAAGTGACTTAAGATGTTTGCACCATAAACTGGGCAAAACTCCTTGGTAAAATTTGGTGTTTTTTCAATGCAATCTTGTTTAAAGGGAAGTTTTTACAAACGTTTATGCAGATTGGTTGTGTTTTTACACCAGTAAAGTAATGCAATTAAAGTAAGACAGACATAAAAATGATCCCAGATGGATATGACAGCCCATCTGTCAGATTATCATCTGATAATCTGAGGCGTTGGAGGTGTTTGCTTTGGCATCCAGTTCAAACAATAAGGAGTCACGGTTCGGCAGGGAGCCAACAGGAACAATGAACACTAACGTGATTGTGACAATGTTCACTATCGTGCTGTGTTAGAAAAGAAAACGAGAAAAGAAGCTCAGGGTGCCACTTTATTCTCAACCACAATGCAGAGATTTCCCGGTTCACCCAAACCTGCTGCTCTTACCGAAAACCATTCAGAGTTCGTGAAGGAAAAGTATCACTTTATCACCGTTCGTGATTAAACATTGTTTCGCATCCAAACTGACTGCATTGTTTTGAGGATTTACTGCAATACGACTCCATGTCTTGGTCGTTGCAGCCATTACAGGTTTTACCTGGAAAAGCTTCTTCCAGCTGACTCACCTTCACCTGGACGTTCAGGTCAAACTGGATGATTTCCTGCCAAACAGAAAACACTGTGGGGAAAAGAAAGAGCAAAACATTTCCATTTTGGATTCCATGCTCCTCAGCTGTTGAAGCATTAAAATCTGATATTTGCAGAAACTGTTGGATGTTTTTTTTTTTAAACAAAAAGGCCAAAACATTCTTCTAATTTCTATGTTTTATTTATTTGCCCTAATAAAGCCTGAAGGGGAGTCACTTGGAGGATATTATGGTGTATTAGGGCCATTAGGAAGATCATAAATGCCAAAAATGTGAGACATTTTCACATTAATCTCTGAAATTTTCTGAGCTCATAAAGTAGAAAATCTTTTACATTGGAAAGTTTTAAAAGTCCAAAAATTCTGAGATTAGTCTAAAATTTTCAAAATTCCCCCCCCCCAAATCTTTCATTTTGGGATTCAAAATTTTTTCTAAAAAATTTCTGAGATTAATCTCAAAATTTCAAAATGTTTTTCTCTCAAATTATTGAGATTTGAAACTCAAAAATTTACACAAGTTTTTCTAGAAAATTTTTGCGATTAATAGCAGAATAACATTTTTCTATTTTTAATTGCCCTGATAAACCATCGATTCTTGCAGCTTCATCAAACTTCATTATAGGTTTGACCTTATTGGTGCTTGACCTAGATTGGACTAACCTCCTTAAATCTGATTTAATTATTTCAGGCATAAATTCAAAAGGTCTAATATCATTCCTCTGACATTAGACCATATTAAAATAATGACACCTGCTGTTTGCTGCAGATTCGTCACACAGAAAAGGAGAATCTCATGTTCTTCCAGTCGCCACGCCGGCTCTGTGGAGAACTGGAGTTCACTGGAAAACTGAACTAATTATTGTGTTCAAGGAACCAGTTGGGGATTATTTGAGATTGTCAGAAATATTGTTCCTCTCTTTTCGTTGTACCTCCACCTGCAGCCCAGACTGTTGATTCAATGGATGGATCCATGATTTTCTATTGTTTATTGGTAGAAAACCAAAAACTGCATCCAAGTAAGAATTCAACTAATTCAATATGTTTTTACTCAAATACCAGTAAAAAGCAGCTGCCAGGACATTAACCTGAGAAACTGATCAAACTATCAAAAATGACATAAACAGATGGATTAAAATATAAAGAACTAAGAAAGAGTATAAATATAAAATTACTAAAAAGTACAGAGAAATAAAAATGATCCTAAAAGTAAATTTTTTTCTAAAAGAAAAAGTTATTTAAGTGAATATAACTGAGTAACTATTTACTACTGAACTCTGGTTTTTTGTCTCGATCTCAATCGTTTTCCATTTGCTACCATTTGATTGGCTGATACTCTGGGTGCGTTAACAGTTTGAATGAGTTCATGAAATAAATTGTAAATTTCATGTTGTTCAAACATTTTCCATCTGCTGAGAGCAAACGACTCTTTGTGTCGCAGTTGCTAACTTAGGGCTGCTGCAAATAAAACCAACAAATGGAAATATGTGAAGCCAGTTAAAGTTAAATTGCCTTTGCATGCAATAGCTGGAATGAATGACTATACATTAAACTATTTATGCTCAATTAGGCCAGAATACAGAGTCATGGAGGTGGAGCCAGGATGAGTCAGATCATTTTCCAAACTGGCAACAATACAACTCTGCAAAAACACAAAATATTAACAAGTATTTTTGGTCTAGTTTCTAATGCAAATGTCTAAATAAGACAAAACCAAATTGTAAGTATCTTTTCAGGAGCTTGTTTTGAGTAAATAATTCCTTAATTTTGACGAAAACGTCGTTCTGTTGGAAGATGAATTTACTTTTAACAATAAGTGAAATAACAGAACGAGAACTTTTGCTCCAACGTTAAGGAATCATTTCATTAAAACAAGATCCTATAATTTACTGAACAGTTACTTGTAAGAAAGTTTTGTTTTAAAGTTTACTGATACATTTGCACCAGAAATGAGACAAAAATTACTTGGTGAGATTTAATGTTTTTGCAGCGAATGTATTAAATGTTTATCTCATTTCTTCCTGAGGTTTTTACCATCAGCAAAGTCAAAGGATCGACGTCACATCAAACCGAGGCGCTTTATCCAACGATGCTGGACTGACATTGTTATTTAAAAATGTTCCAACCTTGTATGTTAATCTTTTGTTCTTCCCATTAACACATAGTTTCGCTTTACAGGAAAATGCTACACACCTCCTTCAAATATGTTCAGATGAAAAATAGAGAAACAAGCAGCTGTTCAGGTGGGAATGTCTCACAGCAGGAGGTTTGTACTGCCAAAAACTGTCTCTGTTGTTTTGGTATTAAAAATAAACTCTGAACGATGAACTTACATGACATTTTTTATCTTAAAAAACTTGTTTTTTGGTGATACTTTAGTTGGAAGGTAAGGCTAACACTGAATGAGTCGTCATAAATGTTTTCATTTGGTAAAGAATGACACTTTTAATGGAAATTTACATTAAAGGTTTCATTATTTACCAAATAATGTAAAGTTAGATTTGTAATGGACTTTTGCTACAAGTTTTAATGCAACTTTGCATTAAAATTGTCTTTATTTTCCGAATGACACTTCATGACGACAGTCGTAAACATTTATGACGACTCCTTCAATTCATTTCAGTCTGATGCACACCGCTTTAGATAAAATGTCACCAGTTTTTTATTAAAAAAGAAAAGAAAATCTTTTCTCGTAGGAAATGGATGTGTAATTCATTGTAAATCCAAAACTATAAGAGTTTTGCATGTTTTTTCTATCAAAAGAAAGAAATAATTAGTTTTTTCTCAGCATTAAAACCAGTAATTTGGTAACTTTTTATTTGAAAACACTTGCTGTACTTTCCCAAGATTGAATAAAATCCTGATATAAAGGTAGAGTTGCAGCCGCACAAAGTCAGGCCACGTGCCGCAAACGGCCCCCAAGCCTCACTTTGATTCTCAGCATTCTTGTGTTTATTTTGTACCTGCAGAACGAAAGTGGAGCAGAAATAATTCAGCATATTTTACATCTCAGGACATATGACTCATTTGTACGGCAACATGTTGCAAATATAAATCTACTGTCAGTTGTTGTAGAGATTTGATCATTAGTAATGGTTCAGTCAACAACAAATCTGGATTAGATTAGGAAATACGATTTAAGGAGCTGAAATTCTGGCAGCAGCAAATTTTCACAGCAAGAAATCTTTAATGAAAGATTAAACTGGTAAGGTTAAAAGTTCAAAATCGAAACTAAATGTCACTGATTGATCTGATGTGCAGCATTTCTTCATGAGATTAAATGCATCCTCATAATCTGTGCGTGCAAAGTGAAAATGCCAATCTGTCACATGTAAGCACGGCTCTGTCATCTGCAGGCTTGATTGAAAATCATGTTATTTTAAGTGTGTTTTGCTCATCTGGTTAACACATACTTTAGCTTTAAAGAAACACAACACGCCTCCTTCAAATATGTTCAACCAGGAACCAGAGAGTTCAGGAGCGTCAGGAGGGGC